AATATAAATTACATTGATGGCAGTGATTCTTATACCAACCACTGTGTAATTCTCAGAACAGAAGCACTGAATAGACATTTTAAGAGCCCATAATGAACTGCGCAGATTGAATTGTTTCATTAAATTTAAATTTGGCAGTGGGCACTTGTCTTACAAGGTAATACAAATAATTGCCAGGCATTTTAAAGATGCTTTACTGTGCTTCTGTGATGAAATCTAAGCAGGTTTAGACAGCATGGGGTTTAAAATGCTAAGCGATTCTTTCTTTAATAAAGATAGCATCTAATTAAGGCACATGTACAAGCAGATGCAGACAGATTTGAGAATGGGATCATGTGAGAGGATACTTGCCATTCCCTTCCAATGGCAGCTTACAAGCAATAGTCATTCCCAAAGTCCGGCACAGAAACCATTTGTTATTGTGACATGGGAATTTTTGTCAAGTGGAAGGACTCCTGGGTCGCACTTTCTAACTCCTGTGTCAAAATCCTCATTTAAAATAAGCATTTCAAATGATTCCATGCAAATTAAAGTTCCTGACCCAAGTTTTATTAAAACACACAGAGAAATACATAGATGCCCACTTTACTCAGCTGGAGATACATGGAGATGTGAATATCAGTCTCCAGGAGAAGCTGCCGTCTAACGGCCTGGGCTGAGAAGGGGGAGAGATGAACTGCACTGGCCGAAGAGGGGACATTACCTCACAGCAGGCACTGGCCCAGCAGCTGCTCCTAACTTGTGACAGACAGGATGAGGGTATCATACTCCCACTTCTACCTAGAATGCCCTGGGGATTTGTTCACACCCACTTGACCAGTTTCTAAAAAGAAAACAGCTTCAAACATTTAGAACCCAACACGAGGGTACCCAGAGTCTCATGTATAAAAGACCTCTAGGATATGGCCCCTGAACCTATCTGTCTGGTCACTAGAAGGCAGGTTCACCTCTGTCCTTGGTTGGCCAAATATCATTGTTGCTCACATAGTATCTGCATTGATGTGGGCTAAGAAGTTAGACAACAAAGTCTCACCCAAATTTACAGGAGTGCGAGCATGTACTGGGAGACTCTCCGTCATCGCTTAATAAGGACTTTTTAAATATCTGGTGTGGAAGTCTTACAGAGCAGAAAATGTAGGACTTTTAAGTAAAGAGAAAACTGCATGACTATCTCCTCTTAGGTCGTACAACTGGCATTTCTCCTTTGGAAAAGGATGGCTGATTTCAAGCATTAACATGGCTTAGTAGTACGGTCCATGCTGAGGGAAAGGAAGATACACACAGCGCTGGCCACCACAGAGCTGATGAAGCTCAGCACACAGACTGAGAAAGTCTTTTAAAACTTAGTGTAAGGAGACATGGATTCACATAATGGCTGGATCCACAGGCTTGTGGGTCAGCCAAAGCTCCTCGGAGGGAAGGACAGAGACTTGAAAGAACAGAGGTTCAGCTTCTCGGCAAAGGAGATGTCTGAAGCATTTTCTTGAGGAAAGAGCCTCGCAGAGTTGGAGGTGGTGCAGGACTGTTTCTGTTTGAGCTATTAGGAAATAAGGTCTCGGTGCCAAGTGGTAGGAAGTCACTGAAATTCTGAAGAAGGGGATATATAGTTTCAGAAGAATCTTCACAACTCAGACTTCAAGGCCCCAGCCTAGATTTGGTGCTGTGAGCAGGTCCCAAACCTAAAATTTTGAGGACACTACAAACACCCGACACACAGTTGTCTGGGCACTGCTGCAGAGTATTAGTCGCTTACAGGCCCAAGTCAGGCAGGTTCCACCTAAAGAGTGCTGAGGCTGGAAAGGATAACCATGCCACCTCCAGTGTTCATTTGTCCTCGCCGGTTAGATTAAGCCCTCAACTAGAAGCAATACCACCTACTCACTTGGGGACTACCTGACATCCAGGACAGGTAAATGTTCCCTTCCAAAGGTTGCTTACAAGCCATAGTCATGTCCAAAGTCCAACACAGAAACCATTTGCTCCTGTGACCTGGGAGTGTTTGTCAAACAGAAGGATGCCTGGGGGATACCTTCCATTTCTTGACTCAGTAACCCCATTTTAGGTAAGCACTGCAGCTGATTCCATACAGATCAAAGTTCCAAAGCCAAGTTGTATTAAAACACGCAGACAGACAGACAGACACACACACACACTAACAATCACATCGCTTGGGAACGATGTGGGAGCTGGGACGGGTAAAGGGGTTGTGGGATAGCACATGGCCCATGCACATCCCAGGCCTCTTCAGCACACACAGGCTTGATGCTCACTTGCCTCATCTGGAGGACTCAGAAGGAAGCTGGAGTGTAATCATTCCACTCCCCCGCTACTACCCAAGGCTGACCCTGAAATGTGTGGTTTACACACTTCCAAGAATATTCCCAACAGGCCTACGCCACGCCACCTGCTGAAAATGGTGTGACAAGCAAGCTGTCCCCGATGGCCTCTCCTGACTCGCTCCTGCACCCCATCCCTACCCAAAAGCTTCCTTCATCTACAAGTGTGCCACCTACAATCAGATCCACCTCATTGCTTGCCTCTGGGGTGCAAATTACCTAAAAAGTAGAGAGGGGCAGCTACATTTTAACAAATCAAAAACCGATATGCAGGAAATTTGCTAAACACGTGAGGTGAGCAGCGATCAAAGGAAGAAAAAGAGAGCAAGGACGTGTTGAAAATCACCTTATTTGAGCAATCTATTCCATGTAGCCCAGGAACATTGCACAAATTGTCAAACTGTGCTCTTACTCTTAGGAAACATGGGTTGGGTGCTTTTTTCCTTTAAAAAAAAATATTTTCCTAGGTTGAAAATTTCTAATCCCAAAATCTACACTGTGCCCAAGGCAGAAATTTCTTGAGTGTTTCATGGAGCATTTCAGGTTAGGAATGCTCAACTTGTAAAGCCTAGGCAAATACGTTTTTTAAAAATTCCGAATTTGAAACAGTCTGATCCCAAGTGTTTCGGATAAGGGATGTTCAACCAGGTCCATGAAACAAGAAGTTAAGAAGTGACCTGTGTCTCTTTCAGAAACAATTTGGTAGTTTAAAAATTACCAAGAAATAAGGCATAGATTCTCAGCCTGTGGGTCACGACCCCTTTGGGAGCCTCAGATGACCTTTTTCATGGGGATTGCATCAGATATTTAAATTACAATCCATACTGGTAGCAAAACTACAGTTAAAAAATGAAAATAATTTTATTGTTGGGAGGTTACCACAACATGGGGAACTGTATTAAGGAGTCGTAGCAGTAGGAAGATTGAGAACCACTGCAATAAAGACCTAGTACTTAATACTTACTGTCCAAAGAGCTTTTCAATTACTCTTTTCATTCTTTATCATCCTCATCTTCTTTATTAAAGAGATGAGTGAAAGATCAAAGATCATATGAAGAGTATGCAGAGAAGCCAAGACATAGGCTCAAGACTTTGCTCTACTTTCTCTCTCTCTTCCCACAAAGGAAAGAGCTCACAGCCAAGAGGACAGCTGAGTAGAGAGGCAAGCTCATCAGCTTTTTACCCAATATATTGATGTTCATCATTGGCCTTTGTCTTTTGAACTATAAGTAGGAAAGCACTAATCCAAAAAAAGGGTTTTAAATCATTGACTATTTATACTCAGGAAAGTAACATTTGAGAAATGTCTAGAAGAAACAAGAACTATTATTTTATGAACCCTGGTAGAGTACCAATAAGTACTTAAAACCAAGACTTTGGCAAAAGTTGATGCAGAATGGGACAAATGAGAAGATGCAATTAAAGCAAAAGGATTTTGAATAGTCTACAGCTCTTTTCTGACTAGTTTTATGATACAAATAAGAGTCATTTGTGGAAAGGGAGCCTCAATTGAGAAAATGCCCCCACCTTAGATTGGCCTGTGGGGCAAACCCATGTCATATCTTCTTGATTGATCAGTGATGTGGGAGGGACCAGCTCATTGTGCGTAGTGCTATCCTTGGGCTGGTGGTCCTGTGAGCTATAAGATAGCCTGCTCGTAAGCCATGAGGAGCAAGCCAGTAAGCATCTCTCCACCATGGCCTCTGCATTAGCTCCTGACTGCAGTTCCCAGCCCTGTGTGAGTTCCTGACCTGACATTGCTCAGTGAGGGACTGTGGCATGGAACTATAAACTTCTTTGCCCGAGTTGGCTTTGGTCTATGATGTTTTATCCAGCAATAGAAATGCCAATTAAGACAAAGTCTGAACTGTTAAGAACAAGGCTTCAGGGCTCTGAGAAGCCTGGAGTCCTGCCTTTACCACAAGAGTACACTCTGTCACCATTGACTCCCAAACAGCCCTAGCCTGAGGAAGACCACTATGGCCGTGAGAGTTAGGCATAAGTGGCCATTTCCCTCATAATCAAACGAGACACACCAAAACTATTATAATACACACACACACACACACACACACACACACACACACACACACACACACACACACATGAGTCCTTAAGAATTTTCTTAAAAAAGTGAAAACGTATCAGAAGTAGAATCTTTACTATATCCTCTAGAAACATCTTCCAGCCCAAGTCACACTCAGTTCAGGGTTGAGTTGTATATTATTTATTTATTTGGCAGGAAACCTCGCTATGTTGCTCAGCTTGATCTAGAACTCAGCGTTAGCCTCACCTGCAGCTTGGTGCATGTTGTCACAGCCACCTTCAGGTAAGGATTCAAGGACCTTAGGAAGATGGAAAGATTTGTTGACCTCTTGGTCAGAACTGACGAAAGGGTGCATCCAAGTATGGATCACGGAGGTGCTGTTTCACAGGAAACTAAGTGCTTTTCTGTTTTGTTTTTAAGGCAGGGTCTCGCGTGGGTCGGGCTGGCCTCACACTGTGTAGTTAGCCTCCTGATCTCCTGTCCCTGCCTCACAAGTGCTAGGATTCTGGGAGCACAACACCAACCGGGCTAAATCCAGGTGGATTTCCACCACAAGAAAGCACTGCCACAAAACATAAAGCATGCAGAATGACAATGCAGGTATCACATTTAGTTACCTGGTTTCGAGAGATGATGAGCTTTCGTGGGTGTCCATCCTTTTACTTCTGGGAAATGATGGACTAGATGAAGACAGCTCACCACTAAGGCGGTCTGGAAAGATGCGCTCTTTATTCAAGTTGACTTCAGAATACGGACAGTTGGCACCACTGATGGATTAAAAGAAGAGGAAAGTGCACTCCCATTAGATGGTCAATTATATCAGTTAAGACTGTATGGTAGTAAATGTTGAATTCCAAAGCTGAACCACATATGTTATATATGTATGTGTATAAATATATGGCTAAACATATAGCAACAAGATATGTCTCTCCAGTAATTTAGGGTTATTCCCATGGTGAGCATTTGTGCACTTGATTTTGAGAAGCAGTCTGCTGCAACCTTTGATCTGAGCGTCGGTCAGAGGATCCCTCCTGCCCTTGTTGTGGGTAAGCCCTGCACATATCTCTGAGAATAATCAGCCACAAGAAATAACCACACTGGGGACATTCATAGCTATTTAGTTTCCCCTATGATATTCAGTGACTTCCAATGTCCCCATGAAACACTACCACCCCTGGGACTGTAGTTAACAGCTGAGAACACACAAATGCTTTGAAGCTAATTCTAACCCTGATATGAAAAGGGGCCATGGGCTAGCCTTTTCTATCTACACTTAGAAGGTAAACTCTGAGGTTTCATGTAGTGATAACTCCTGTTACCTGGGCAGAGGAAACTGAGGTCACTAAGTGTTAACTTGGCAATAGTTAGAAGATGCCTTGCCTGGGCCTTCGTATTTCTGTGTAGAACATCTGGGCACTAGGTTTCCGATATACACCAAGCTTTCCCGTTGACTGCCTATCTTGTCCCCCTTTCTGAAAGGCTGTAAGATTGGAAATGATTTAGACATTGGATACATTATACTGGTGTCTTGTATGTTCTTTTGTTCAGTTTCTATTATAGTAGAAATATTAACAATCACCCAAGGGAACTTTTTAAACAATACATATATATTTTCAACTAAGAGAAGCTGAGATACACCCCTGGGGAAAGAATAATCTGAAATGCTCCCTGGTAACTCTAGAAGTGATGTAAAATTTACCGCGGCTATCTAGTAGGGAAAACCGCAAACTTAGTAAGTACATGCTGCTCATCATGGTACTTTAGGCCAAAGTGACAACACACAATCACACACTGACATGAATTTATATCATGTCAATCCAACAACACAAAAACCAGAACACAAGTGATAGAAGTCTTCATGGAACACATGTATTACATTAAAAACTATGCTGTGCTTGCACACACTGTTTTAATCCTCCCAACATTCTATAAAAAGGACATTTGATATGACACACTCAAGTTTAAAATGGTTAAGTAAGCCCAGTCTTCAATTCTCTCATTACCGGCAACAATTTACTAATTAAGTTTTTATTTTCTTGGCTATCTTTCTAGGTATTGGAAACATAATGTAAGAGTGAGGAGGTGAAAACTCTGGTTCAATGACTAATAGTCTAGGAGATAATTGGCAATCAATGTCTAATCACACAAATAACTCATGTAACTTCACAATGAAAAGAAAGAGCATGGCACAAGGGAGGACATGCAGGTGCTCTGAAAGGCTTCCCTAGGAGAAGAACAAACCCCTAAGTGTCAGAACAAAGTTGCCTGCATCTACTTCTCCACACCTAGGCAGAAGCAGTGCCTAGGCAGAAGGAGGGCCGGTGGGCCTAGCTTGGCTAGGTGAGAAATCAGGAAGCAGGAAACATAGGAAGAGGCCATTTCACACATGGCTCAGTAGAGCATAGGCAATACTTCAAAATTTTACCTTGGGTTCAGTTTGAAGCCTCTAGGAAATCTCTAAATATGTGAAGTGATAGGCATTGACTTGGGTGTGCGAGATGAAAATGCAAGAAGGGTTAACTGACAGCATCAGCTATCCCATGATGCCTTGCAGACTAAGAGACAGTCTGTGACACATAGGAATCCAGGACAGCTTGCTGGTTTGTGTTTAAAGAACATGAGGCAAAGAGACACCTGTTTTCTTTTTCTTTCTTTCTGAGATAAGAATGACTTAGTGAGAGGTAAATGTGGAGCAAACCAGTAATTATGGAAAGTTTATCATCAGACATTTAAGGAAAAATTTGGTTTGCCTGAGGTTACACAGCAATGAAATAGCTCAGCAAAATGACTCATTTGATAACAGGACGCTACTTCAGTCAGTCATGAAGAAAAAAAATCTTAGCATTTGCTATACAAAGACTGCACGGGCTCCTGCTTGGGATGCCTGAACTACTCAACAGTTTAGCGGTACAAATGAGCAAAGCTAGTTCTGCCTAACGTGAACAGAGGCTTTGAATGTGGTGACTGGTAGCTCAGTTGGAAGGCAGACAGCCAGGTGTGGGCAGGATGCAGGACCCAGAAAGACCTATCCCCTTAGAAACTGGCCGAATGGGGGGAGGTTGCTGGGGACAGCACTCATTCACCCCTCATCCTCGCCTGCCCAGTAATGTGGGGTCCCAGTGCATTCCTCCATTTTATGGAGACTACAAACATGAAGCCTGACCTGCCTGTGCTCCATTCTGAGACAGAAAGCCCGGAGGGCAGCACTAGGTGGCTGTTTAGTTCTTCAGCCGCCCTGTACCTGCCGAGGAAGCAAAGGCGCTGTGCTGCAGCATGGCTACCCTACGGCACAGCACTTTCCTTACTGCTGAGCTTCAGTTCAGGGAGGCTACACACATCCACTGAAGTCCTATTCAGATGTCTGAGGCCTACCCACAACTTACCATCTTCAATGAGTCTCCCTAGAACCATCAAAAATTACAGATCCCAAGCTCTTGAGTCTCTGCTCTAAGGGATTCCGTTCTCCGGGCCTCAGATCTCTGATGCTATTCTATACTCTCCCCATCTATTGTGTTTTACATTGAATTTACACAAGTCAATATTTTGGCAATTAAAAAAAAAATCCAAAGAAAAATGTATGATAAACAGTCTGGTGCTAGACCAGCAACAATGAACTCAGTTCAGTTCCATTCACGCTTAAGTCCCTGGCCTTAACAAGCAGAGAACTACACTGTGGGTCTTGACTTTGGAAGGCTTCAGGGTTGAAGGACACACCGCCAGCTTTGAGTGATGGAAAACCATGAAGGAATTTTGGATGGCCTACGTCCCTGGAGCAACTCCAGTTACAAAGCAGACAACTGTGGTCAAGCGCTATGGAAACAGCCCTTTGGTTTTGTGGTTGACTAAATGAAAAACTTGAGGATAGTTCAAAGACAGGCAAGTTGCTGGTCATGAGCCTTGCTGCTTACGTGCCTCTTTTTTATTTTGAAATAGGTGGTTCTTCCTCTTTCCACCGCTCAGCTGAAAGAGAAGCAATCCGGCCATCTGAGGAAATGCCCTAATAAGTGAGAAAAACTGCTCCAACAAGGGAGTTGTGTGGCGGTCAGCCTCAGACATACACCAAGCCTCTCTCTGTCCTCCAACCCCGCAGGACGCTCATTCTTACACCTGCACAGGGTGCAGCAGGATGCCAGCTGGCTCCTGAGGTGGGAGGTGATGACTGAAGGGGTTGTGACGAAACTCAGCAGAGCAGCACAGTGAGGACAAGAGGAGAAATGCTTCCAGTAGAGCCGGGGCACCTGGCAAAGCGCTTGGTTTCCTCCTTGCACAGCGAAGAGCATGCACGGTTTCTGAGGCTGGGTTTTCATTTCAAAATGAACATGCCAACAAAAGTGAGCATGCCTTACCCAGGTGAACGCTCTCCTTCCCTACCGTTCACCCTCACAACCTCGGAAGCAGTTCCAAGGGAGCGCTCATGTGACAGATACAAAAAAATTGAGGCTTTGGAGGAGAGCTGTAGAGTGCCAAAAAGTTCTTGGTGGAATCTGACCACAAACACTGGCTCTGTTCAATTGCTGCATAATATGGGTTAATATTAGCCTGAATTATGGAAGAATTCCCTTATTTCTAATCCGTGACATTGAACTGATTTGAAAGCACCGTCAAAGGATTGCGGCTGCCCGCCTCTGGCATTGTACACAGCTCTGTGTTGCAACTTTTCTCTGTGCTAGGCAGGGTTCCAAGTCTTTTACGCGAATTGGTCTTTTCATCATACCACCCCTATGAATGCCATCATCACTTCCGGTACAAATGAAGACACTGGCAGAGAGAGGTGAAATACTCCTTCAAGATCCCAGGGCTTTCCGGATGCCTTTCGAGGAAAGCAAAGCCTCAGATATAAAAGTTTTTCTTTCCCATACCTTGTCCCCAACAATATACCCCTTGGGAAATGAATTACAGCAGACCCCTAAGTACCCATGCTTTCAGAGACTTGAGATAACTACCGTATGTGTTAAAAGGAACAAGGCACGCACGATTTGCATCACTGGAGAATCAATCACTCGATGCTCTGTTTAATTCTCCTTCTGTTATGCCACTAAGTATTAAAAGAAGGTTTGTGTTTAGTGTGTGTGTGTCTGTGTGTGCTGGGACAGGCACATGTGAGTGAGCACAGGCGCCTGCAGCGGCCAGAGGCGGGAGCTCCCCCATGTGGGTGCAGCTCCAACTTAGTAACTTTTAAAACCGTGCGTGAACTTTGAAAACTCATCAGAGTTCATTAACACCTGTGGGAAGGGCAGATTCTCAGTGGCCTCATAATTACCCCTTCTAGTTTCTCACGCGCTAAGGTTTTGAGCAACTACATTTCAGTAGTGCTTGGTTCATTATGCTGTGTTTGCATTTCATCATGGGTGCTCGTTTTCTCTGAATCTCCTTCATTCTCTGTCCCTCTTTTTCCCCTCCAGTAATTGATCCAAAGTCATTCCAGGAAAGAGCAGTATAAATCCTGTGGGAACGTTTCCCAAAATGACTTCGTTACAGTGCAAATATTAGCAAATTATTGTACACCAGCTACTTGACAATTATTTGCTCCCAGAGACACTCAGGAGGCTGTTTTCCCAGTGGCATTTCTGGTTGAGCTTGTAAGTAAAAAGGGCTGCCTTGTCTACTGCTATCCACGGTCGTACTGAAAACCCTTTTAATTATAAATATCTGTACTTAAACAATTAGGCAATACATCTGGTTAAACATCACATAGTTACTCTCACACACAATGCTGACACACATTCAAGACAGGCTTTACCAAGTGACTGCTCTGCATAAAGGCCTCAGAGAAAGGCATAGGCATGAGGCCATTCTGGGCTAGACTGAGCTCTGTTTCTAGCAATGCACCATTCCACGCACTTTTTCAACCATCCAAACTTTTCCTCATCATCTAGAAGTGCTGCTCACTTCATAGACTTGCTGTCATACACATGAGGTCCTTAGAACAGTGGCCATGACTATTATTATTGTTATTAATTATTATTACCTTACAAAGGAGGTAAACCCACCAGACAGCACTGTGCATAGGCTCACTGGCATGTCCTTAGGTCTAAGTAGGAAAGTCTGTGGCAACAGAGCCTGTAGTGACAACCATGTCATGCCACCTGGCCACTTGTCATGATGGCCTTTCCCCTTAGGCTCCTCCAGCTGCTCCCACATTATCATTACCTTAGGTGGAGGCAATCTAACCTCCATCGTGTAAGGAAAAAGTCAGCAAAAACAAACAATGATATAAAACGTCATAGCGCATACCCAACAGGGCTCGATTCCCCCCAGAAATAGCCAACGCTGCCATGAGTCCTCCTCAGTCCCACCAAAGCTAGCTGACCCAGAGCAGTATTCAGCAACGTGGGGGAGCTGGGTGGATGGATGCCGAGCGCAAGCCAGTTAGCAGATGAGCATCCACAGAGACTAACTTATAGAACACTCCATGGAATTCAAAAATACTCTTTAGAGACTGGTGGAAATAAAACCCTCCTGTTTAATTTCTGAAAGACCAACTTTTATATATCAAAGATGTACTTTTAAAGTCAGTAAATTTATAGATTATCTACTTTTAGGTAACTTGAGCTCTCTTCACTCCCCATGGGTCTTTCCCATTCTCTTACCCCCGAGTAAGCCCAGTGAGTGAAACCACAAGAGAATGCTGCTGTGCAACTCATACTTCCGCTTTCTCCTAGAGAGCCAGAATTAAGCAAGCTGGCTACTGAACACCTCTAGAGACAAGAACACCACACCACACATCCAACTGTCACCGATCATATTCCAGTATTAAAGAATGGCTTCTAGCATTTCTTAGATCAAACATAATCCTTAGGGATAGTAACAAGCAAATGCTAGCCAAACTACAGTGTTTTGCTTATGTGCTTGTAAAACTATCCACAGTAAAAGGGCAACTTTCTTTGTTATCTATGTAAAGATGCATGTTTTGATTTATTGAGTTTCTCAGTAAATTAATCCAAAGAGAATTTTCTCATTATGTTTTCCTAAGCAGAGCATTCTCAGCAAGGACAGAAATAATTGCCAGTGAAATGAACCTCTCAGAGAATATGTATAATGCAGTGAGCTAGTCCACAAGTGTACTGATGAGATGGAAAACAGGCTGGGCTTGCTAAGGATTAATGTCCTGCCAAGGAGGCAGCGTTGAGCATTGTAAATTATACAGACTGTTCGAGGGGTGTAGAAAACCTGTGCAAGGCTGCTATGGGTGAACTGCAGAGCATAGACCCTGCCATTAGTTCTCCCAGTTTTATTCTCCTGTCCCCAGACTCAGGCCACCATCTCTGCACAAGAAAAAGGCCCCAGTAGCTATGCCCTGCATGGTCAAGAAAACCAATACAGCTGTTTGGTCAAGACTTGTCTTTTCAGTTATAAACTATATTCTGCCAGTCCTTCAACAAAATGAAGCATGGTTCCAATTACTCTGAAAGTTCCCTCACCACATTTCTGCTTAAGCCACTCTGTGAATCTTCCCATAATTTACATCTTCTAGTCACAAGCACAGTAGTACACGTCATACTCAATCCATCAAGAGATTCCCCAAAAGACAACCTCTAAACTGTGGGAGCAGCTGGGCTGGAGGAGCCTAAGGGGAAAGGCTATCATGACAAGCAGCCCAGTGATGTGACGTGGCTGTCACTACAGGCTTTGCTGCCCAGACCTTCCTGCTAGGACCTAAGGACATGACAAAGGGACATGCCATAGGCACAGTGCTCTATGGTGGGTTTCCTTCCAGAGTCAAAACCAAGTTTTGAATAGCCAACTGTATCCCAACAACACATCAGTATTTACCCCATTTAAAAGTTTCTTGTTCTTTTCTTTCATAATTTGAAAATATTGCCTTCAGTCTAATGAAGATCACCAGACTGTACAGTAGCAATGTGGAGGAACCAAAGATCCTCATTTTAATTGCGATTTTGTATCTTATACTTAAAATGATGCAGTGTGGGTCGAGAACCTGAGAGTTGGACCAATTCATGGAGCAATGCTGTGAGGGGTCAAGATTAGAGCCTTCAGCTCCCCTCACCAGCAGCTAGGGAAGGCAAGTTATTATGCCTATGGAATACTATATGGTCCCTATCCTGTCCTCACCACGGCTTGTAAGGAAAGAACAGTTCCTATACCAGATTGCTGTTCTGAAAGCTGGCTGATCCACTATACAACAGAACAACCTCTAACATAAAACCAGTGAATGTTCAATTAAATGTTATGCCTTCTGCCTAGAAGAAACTGGTCTTCAAAAGAAACCACTGACAAAAGGCTTTCTGAACTTAGCATGCGAGTTCCGCAGTCTCATGAGTTCCGTCTTGCACTCTGATCATGTCCATGATCTGCTGGATCATCTGAAAGGTGTTCCAGCTGCCTTCTGAGAATGGCTTCTCAGATGCAGAGTCTCCAGTGGAGGCTGAACTGATGCTCCATCTTTGCTTTGCAGCCATACAAGGGGACAAAGGCTTTAAACCTGTCTATCTGCATATGGGATCACTACAGTCTCTGTATGCTTTTATTCTAGAATGTAGTGAACCTCAAGAAAAAGAAAAGATTAGCAGTGCTTGTCGATGCAGATACAGGGAGACTTTACCGCACCAGGTGAAAACAACACACCAGTTGTGCGATTCTTAACTCTTGGAGGAATGAATGTTTAAATGCTATAGGGAAGGTACACAGGTGCCAGGGCATGCTTGTGGAGGTCTGGGGACCACTTCCCGGAGTTGCTTCTCTCTTACCATATGGATTCCATATGGATTTCGGATGGAACTCAGGTTGTCAGGCCTACTGGCTCTTACCCACTGAGTTGCTTCACTGGCCTATAGTTTCAAACTTTTGAAGAACCATACTTATAACCCTATGCAAACTAGATAAAGAAGAGATAATTTTCTCAATAACTAATCTAATTAGCATATTCCTTCACTTACACTGATAACATCTTCTTTTAACTTTTATTAATTAAAATCATGTATAATTTTGCTTTTTTTGTTTTTTTTTAAAGATTTTATTCATTATTTTTACAACATTCTGCCTGCATACCAGATCTTACTGTAAATGGTTATGAGCCACCATGTGGTCGCTGGGAATTGAACTCAGGACCTTTGGAAGAACAGAGAGTGTTCTTAACCTCTGAGCCATCTCTCCAGCCCCACTGATAATATCTTAATAGGTACTCAAATGGGTGATGCTTTTGTCCCTTAAAATATGCCTAAATCATGAGAATTTGTCAGTATTTCAGCCATATTTTTAAATATCTATGAAGATCTCCAAATCACCTGAATGCCAAGTTTTAATTATACTTTTGGTTTCTTTTTAAGTTACTTACAAGTAAGAAAATAATACTGGGGGGAAAATTACTTTTCTGATCATTTAACCCTTACATGAGATTGTATGGTTTTCTAATGCTCATTGCTAATCTCCAGTGTCTCATCTTCTTATTCAAACTGTAAAAACACCCCACCACATCATATTCTGCTAAATAATTTCAACAGGGTCTGCCCTAATCTCCTTATTAATGCTAAACTCCAAATAACTATTTTAGAAGCCATGGATCTAGAAAACTAACCAAGCTGCAAAAAACAAAAACAAAAAACCCAAATAACTAAAGTAAATCTGTTTTAAACAGTGAATTCATGTTCTCCCAAGAAGACTTAAGTTTAGATATATCCTTCATTTTTACACAGTCTCCATGGTAACCTGATTTCTTATGGCTCTGAATTTAAAATCAGTTCACATCTGTTTCCTATAGAAGGAAATCGTCTGCATTCAGAGACAGGCACTCCCATGCGACCATGCACAAAAGTCCTCATGGCAAATACATACCTCTGAGTGCCCAGGTACCTCGATTTCTTAAAATGGCCAATACCCTTGCAGCCTAGAGTTGGACATCCCCCAGTTTCTGATGGCTCCATTAATTCTGCAGGGCCTACAACCAAAGTAATAAAAAGAAAAGGTGAAAAAGAAAAATACAGCAGAAGTTGAGCGGAAAGCCAAAAATGTCAATGTCTAGGATGAGAATAGAGGGAAAACAAAACAAAAAAATCCATTTCTGAAACAATGTATACATATAGAAAAACAAAGAGTTCTGGGAAAAATGTACAATGTTTTAGCAGGGCCCAGTGGTGCACACCTGTAATCCATTTCTGAAACAATGTATACATAAAGAAAACAAGTTAAAAATGTTTTAGCAGGTGCATGCCTGTTATCCTAGCACTCAGGGAGACAGAGGCAGGCAGATCTCTGTGAGTTCCAGACTAGCCTGGTCTACAGCTAGCCCAGACAGCCAAGTCTACACAGAGAAACCTGTCTCAAATAACAACAACAGAAAGTTTTAGATTTCCCCACATGGTTCATTCTGTCACAGAATTTTTTCTTCTTTAACACGGAAACGGTAAATTTTGATTTTACCTTCCTTTAAGATGTCAGACAACAGAGATATTTAAATTTGACTTGCTAGGAACATTTGAAGATCTATTATCAAAATAACAAACTGCATAAGAATATCCTATGTAAAAACTGCAAACGCTAGATTACAGAATATGGAATATGGAATACAAGCACCAGGTTGGAACCGCCTGAGCCAACCAAGTGCCCCAGGCTGGGATGCACAGCAACTGTTACCAGCAGCAGCTGGTCTACACTGCACACTCTCCCTCTTCCGCATCCCCCAGTGAGATGAATGCCCTCCTAGATGTGGCTCCATCTATGTGATGCACAACTATATCAAGTTCAGGATTTTCATTTTGCTTCATAGAAGGTTCAGCACAAATGTGCATCTGAAATAGTTTCCTCTGGATTTGAACTTGTCTTTCATGTTTTACAATATTAATATTCTTCATGACTGTGTTATCTCTACATGCTATGTGCCATCGTTTATTTGACTAATACCTGCTTCCAACTTTGTTTTGCACATTCTGCAGCTCGTATAAATAAAGCTACTCACTGTATAGGGAAAAAAAAAACATTAATTATTTTTAAAAAAGACACCCTGGCTCTAGTATACTGTATTTTCCATACTTTTTCATACAAGGTATACATTCTTTAAAATTGAGACCATGGTATGTTCTTCCCAAACCCATGTACTTTTTTTTTTTTAAATTGAACTATAGATTCACATGTAATATAAGTCATGTGGCCTCTTTTATACTTTTCCCAGTTTCTGCCAGTGACAACATTTTCAAAGCTACAGCATAAGGTCACTATTAGAATGCAAAATTTGATTCTGAAATTTTAATAGTCTGACAAATTATCCTCTAGAGATTAGTACTAATTTTAAAAAGTTATGTTTGCTTCCAAATAAAACTCAAACAGCATACTTTACTTCTTTGGGCAGTAGGATTTTCTTTTTCTTTTTTCTTTTTTTTTTTTACTTTTGTCATTTGTGTGTGGGCATGTGCCCATGCCGGTGGCAATTAAGAGATATATACAGAAAAATTAAAAAAAAAAAAAGCAGAAAGAGGAGACAGAAACGAGAACACCGGTTACTTAAGTGTATCTTACTGAGGGGTGCCTGAAGCGGGTGCCCGGTTTTGGAACACCAGCCCACGGGGTGAATGTCTGGAGAGTCTGCATCGATCCAGTAATCATAGCAACTGCTCCAGCCATCAAAGTGAACCTAGATAACAGAAGAGCATGGAGTCACAGGAAATCCTACTGCAGAGCTTCAATCCACACACGAGCCTTTTGTACTTCTCACTTACACAGTGTATTTAATGTCCAATAAATCACTCCAATTATTTAAAATACTTCACCCACAACCTGAGATAAAAGATGCTTTTGAAACTACCAACAAATTATCGAGAGACCAGTAACTGCCTTCCCAAAGATGCGTCTGAGGCAACAGCTCTACACGTTTATTATACATATCCTTAAACACAGTCAGCAAATGCAGAATAGGGACCATGCCTGACATGTTCAGACGAGCAAACGAGACACATTGCTGAGGTGGGAAGAGCAGAAAAGAAGGCCCTTGTGGTAAATACAAAGTAAGTTTTTTTTTTCTTTAAAGATTTATTTATTTATTATGTATATAGTGTCCCACCTGCGTGTGAGCCTGCATGCTAGAAGAGGGCACTAGATCTAGATGGTTGTGAGCCACCATGTGGTTTCTGGGAATTGAACTCGGGATTTTTGGAAGAATAGTCAGTGCTCTTAACCTCTGAGCCATCTCTCAAGCCCAAGATTTTTTTTTTTTTAAGTACATTGCCCTCCTAGGAACACATCCCTGAACCATACCATTAAAAATAGTCTTTCTTGTATATAAAAATTTATTTCTATTTTATGTGTACGGGTGCTTTGTCTGCATGTATGTCTGTACCATATATGTGCCTGGTGCCCACAGAATCCAGACAATTGGGAGCCTCCATGTGAGGGTTGGGGGTTAAACCAGTGTCTGGAAGAACACCTAGTGTTCCGAGCCATCTCTCCAGCCCCCAAAGAGCCTTTCTTATACATAACCACAGCATCTCTCAAGACACATCCTAAAGCGGTCACAGTTGACACTGTTACCAGCCACCAAAGGAAAGAGCAGTGGTCTTTTAGTGAAAGTTACTAGTTATCAGCTACCTGTCTTTAGGTGTATATACATTGCACACATACATATATACATACATTTATGTAATATATGTGTGAACACACACACACACACATTACCTTTTACAATGAAATGGTATTCTGAAGTATTTCATGTATTTCACTTCTAGATTGTTTGCCAATTTGACTCTTAAAAAGTGTATGAATCTTTCAACATTTACAAGACAATATTCTAGAAGAATGCATGAGTAAACACAAAATAGTCATACAAAAGATCAAACTAAGCCCATAAAAGACAACACTAACCGATTTAATTACGCAAAAATGTCAAGTTTCAGATGGTAACACTCTCCATAAACAAGAGGAAAGATCCCCACAACACACCTTACTAGACAAATGGCAAAGCCCTTTCTTCCTTATTAAACACCACCTATCAGTAAGAAAATGAGAAAACTGTAACAGAAAGACAGCAAATAAATAGCTTCCTACCCAAGTTCATGCAGTTAACACTATTTAAACTCAGGGGGGTCACAGACCATAAAAGACATGGAAACAGAAGGAGGGCTGCTTGGGAAGAAGAGAGATGAGGAAGGTCGCTTGAGGGTTAAAATGACTAAAATTAATTATACACATGAACGAGACTGTCAAAGACATCAAGCTAAATCCCAAAAAGGAGTAACAGAGCATGAGGTAAATATAGCATGAAGAATTAAACAACAAAAGACAAATAAGAGAATATCTATGATGCTACCCCATTACAGATTTAGTCGTACATGCAGTGATTTGAATGCTTGGTCCCTCCTTTGTGAGAAACTGTTTGGGGATGAATTAGGAGGTTTGGCCTCGTTTGAAAAGGTATGTTACTGGAAGTGAGCGTTGAGGTTTCAAAAACCTAAGGCAGGCCACTCCTCCCCACCGCCTCTCTGTATCTCTCTCTCCCTCTATGCCACCGACTTGATAAGATACAGCCTCTGAGCTACTGCTCCAGGACCATGCTTGCTGCTGCCATACTTCTCCATGTCAGCCATCCTCTGACTACGATTAAAACAAGTACCTTTTTGTGAATCTGAAAGGCAACTCAGAAAAACATGTTTTAGATATGTATGTTTACTTCTATCTTCTGATATAAAATCATATTACAAGCCAGGTGGTATTGGCACATGCCTTTAATCCCAGCACTTAGGAGGCAGATCCAGGTGGATCTCTATGAGTTTAAGGCCAGCCAGGTCTACAGAGCAAGTTCTAGGGCAGCCAGAGCTATACAGAGAAACCCTGTCTTGGAAAAAACCAACCAACCAACAACAACAACCACAAAGCAAGTGAAGAAAGGAGTGGGTGAAACAGGTTCTAAAAGAAGAGCCAGGATCGGATAATGGACTCAGACTGGAAGCTGTAAGTGGGTGACAAGGTTGCCTTCTTCCTTAAGGTAGTCTGGAGACATGGAGGCCAGACCCCTTGGTCCTTTCACATAAGTACCAGGTTGGGGCCCTTGAAGGAGCACCATGTTGCTTTCCAGGAAACAGAGAACAGGAAACACACTGAACTCTAGGATATGGCTTCCTAGGTTCTGCCTGCCCCAGAGGAAGGAGCTGGATGCTGGCAAGGGAGGTTTCTCCTGGTGGGAAGGCTGGTGTGTTGCTTTGAACAGTATGCCCTCCCCACCCCTGTAGGTTCATGTGTATGAACACTTGGCCTCAGGGAGTGGCACCATTAAGAGGTGTGGCCTTGTTAGAGTAGTTGTGGCCTTGTTGGAGGAAGCATGTCACTGTGGGGGTGGGTTTTCAGGTTTCAGAAGCTCAAGCCAGGCCCGGTGTAATTTTCTCTTCCTGCTGCCTGCAGATCTGGATGTAGAATTCTCAGCTACCACTCCAGCACCATGTCTGCCTGCAAGCCACCATGCTTCCCATAATGATGACAATGGACTAAACCTCTCAACTGTAAGCTAGCCTAGTTAAATGTTTTCCTTCAAAAGAGCTGCCACAGTCATAGAGTCTCTTCACAGCAATAAAAGCCAGACTAAGGCAGATGGTATCTTGATTTCCTATGCTTCAGTAAAACCTACCAGTCATGCAACAGTCCCTCCTTACCCGAGATTTCAGCTTCTATAGCAGTGGTTCTCAACCGTCCTAATGCTGTGACCCTGTAATATACTTTCTCATGTTGTAGCGCCCTCCAACTGTAAAACTGTGTTGTTGCTACTTCATAATTGCAATTTTTGCTACTGTTATGAATTGTAATGTAAATATCTGATATGCAGGATCCCAACCCACAGGTTGGGTAACACTGTTCTATAGTTTCGGTTTCCTGAGGTCAACTACGGTATAAAAATGCCAAAGGCAGTATTCCATACTGTGATAAAGAGACCAGTTTCCTACAATATTTTATAGTATATTGCTATACTTGTCTGATTATTGTTGCTGTTACTCTCTTTCTAGATCTAGTGTATAAACTATAGTTTGTTACAATATGTATCTATGTATTGGTAAAACTATAGCGCATATGGGATGTTATGTGCAGTTGCAGGCATCCACTAAGGATCTTAGAAGATATCCCCTGGAGACAAAGGATACAAAAGAATACAACTATAAGACCATGCATAAAAATACCTCATGCATGGTGCACTTTTCTTAATGTTAACAGACACACAGGATCACCTGACAGGTGAGAACCATGAAAAGAGGCCATGCTAACATATGGAGAACTGCAGGCTGGAACAGTGTCTCAGAGGTTAAGGCCTGAAACTCATGTCTCTTTGCTTCTGATCCTCAGCTGCTAGAATTACAGGTACTTTCACACTCTGGCTGGACTGACTGGATCTTAAACATATTGAATCAAACATTAAAGTTTCTATTGTATAGCAATAACAATTTGTATAACTTTTCATGTTTTATTATCTTATAAATGTTATTTTGAGTTTTATTATCCTATTAATTATCTCATTAGAAATAGCTAATGAGGGCTGGAGAGATGGCTCAGTGATTAAGAGCGTTTTAGCTGCTCATCCAGAGGATCCAGGGTTCAATTCTGAGCACCCACATGGCAGCTCACACCTGTCTGTAACACCAGTTCCAGGAAATCTGACACCCTTACACAGACATATGTGCAGGCAAATCACGAATGCACATAACGTAAAAGCAAATTATATATATTTGATAAAAAATAGCTAACGATCTGACTTACTACTTTGGAAAATGAGCACACAGTTATGATTCTGGCAGCATGGAACTAAGTTCTTTCCTTGCTAGCCATGATGAATCAAGTGTTTCATCTGATCTGCCTGTGTCCTAGCCTCATCAATACCATGATGATGACACACAGGCCATGTCACAGCCACTACAAATGTCCCACCAAGCACAGCACAAAAGGCCATGGGCTCATGATGATTTGCTGTTCCTCACAGAAAAGTTGACTAATCCTAGGAAGACAATAGCATAGGTACTATATTCTGGCTAAAGAAAGAAATGAATGGTGAAGCCAGGAACCTAGGAGCCCTTTGGGTGTTGCAGCAGAACCACTATACACTGACATAACACACATGGGTAGAACGAGCCAAATCATTTAGACGTGGACTTGATTTAGGAGAGGTATGTGATGTCTATTAATCCAATTCTGGTAAAAACCTGATTTTATTTATAAAGCTATTTATCTTTACACTTTATAAACTACGTTTAATGGCGTCATCGAAATAATTTGAATCTCTTAAAAAGTGTGTACTACTGGAACATGATGCATTTGTCTTCTTTTCTTCTGTTTTGTTTTGCTTTTTTGTTTTTCAAGACAGGGTTTCTCTTTGTAGCCCTGGTCTGAAACTCCGTAGACCAGGCTGGCCTTAAACTCACAGAGTGCTGGGACTAAAAGGCATGCACCACTTCCATCTGGCTTCCTGTTCTTCTGATGAGACTGTCACCTTAATATGTTGTGTCTACTTTCTCCAATACACATTCAAAATATTAAGCTACCAATCATAATTAAAGAGGAAATATCTTGGGATGATTAAGGGACGGATTTGGATGAATGCAAACATACACAGAGGCAAAGCCACTTTGCATATTCCTGTGGATTTTAGTCATTTTTAAGGTCACGGTCTAGCAAAGTTTTCACTTAATATGTAGAGTAACAAAGGTAACCAAACCAGGACTTACTTTTATCCGGTGATCATCTGTATCTGCTACTGTTGCTACTCTGATAAACAGGGGGTTTCTTTTGTCTACAGCTTCAAGCTTCATTTTTTTCTGGAATCCGTGTGGAGGTTTCTGCCGTACGAGGAAGATTCATACAGTGAGGGAGCAGGCTGATGAACAACCATCAGCAGCAGCTGAATTGTGCAGGTCACCCAAATTCTCATTTGCACTGAGTGGCTGTTCATTCAGGACACGCAGCTCAATACACATGCAAAAGGACAGCCTGCTGCCTAGCTGAAGAGCAGACAGAAGGCAGAGCAAAGGTACCATAGCTACGTGATTGACCAAAGAGAGGACTAGACATTTTCCTTATTGGTTGAGGTGCTATGATAAAAGTCAACAGGCATGAAATTGATTTAAAAAAAAAAAAAGGATGGAAAAACCAAATGGCTGAGGGGAAACATCTAGAAGTGATAATATAGATGTGGGGAAGATAATTTAAAGCAGATCAGCACTCCAACTGAACAAGATGGAACAGCTCTTCTAGGAAAGAAGACCTAACACCCAGAGGAAACCACAGGCCTAGGAAGACCAGGTGACTTCTCCACGTGGTGCTGATAAATTGTATACGCTAACACAAAGAACAGAACAATCGCTGCAAGGATTCTTGACGACTAGGCTGGAGAAATCCTTGCTGTACCTCCCACAGAACACCAGACATGTAGGCTGTCCCTGTGGCCACTGTACCCTGCATGTTGGAAGGGGAGAAAAGAGGCAGCAAATCCCACAGCCGCAGTCTTAACTCCGCTTAAAGCCTGAGTTTCTGTCAGTTGGACTCATGAAAATTCTTTCCCAAAGTTTCTTCCCACTTATTATGATTTTTCTCTTTAAAAATTCATGGTATTCTTTCTACCTGTATTTTAAACTGTTCTTACTAATTAAGTCTACCATTTAAAACTCTAGCAATTCCTGTGTGAAGGTATCAGCTGAAGAATAAGACTGTCTGCAGAAGAAAAAGCCATATTTAAAAAATACTATTTTCTTCTTGAAACAGGATGTTTGTTCATGGCCTGGCCGGGGGGTGGCCTGGAATTGTGCTTGTCACTCAGCTCTCAGGTGCCAACGACTACAAACATGTGTCCAATGTCCGACTCTTACAAAACCCAAAGCTCTCTTGCACCTCACCCCCCAGGCTGCCTCCCTGACACATGGGCACTCACATAAAAGAAATCACAGTAACAATTTTGAGCCTCAAAACTGAAAAGCTCTGAAAGCATCTCCTCATTGCTAAGCCAGCTGACCAGCTTCACACAAGTTGGCTGATAAATGGCATCATCAACGCACATTAATCACACAGGGCAAAGCAATTTCTCTCACCACTTTGAAAGCTCTGGCAGGAGCAGGTAAAGAATTGGTTTCTTCTAAATATTTATCCCAGGAAAAGTGTTTCACATGTGAATAGCCTAAGAAATAAAGAGAAACATGAAATCCGATGAGGGTGTAATGAAAATGAGAACAACAAAGTGTCCTACAAAACTCATGATATATCAGCAGTCTAATCCAGGAAAGAATGTTCAGATCCACAGAAAAATTTGAAGCTATTCACTCCTCTGGAGCTATTGATCAAAATGATTACTTCCTTTCTGATCATTTGTTCTGACTTTATTACTTTTTAGATGAGATTGTATACAGTATTAAAATCGTAAAATAACACATAACACAAAGGCTTTACAAGTATTGTTGACGAAATATTTCAGAAAACTCCTCCCTTTGTTGGGCTGAATAAAGAGACATTCTCAAATCACAGCACATTCTTAAAAAAACGTGTGAAAATAACTCTCTCAGCACCCTCCCTGCTGCCCTGTTTTCTCTAGAGTCCCAACTTGTATTAGGCAGGCATAATGCTGGCCTCGAAGGTACAAAATTTGCTACCTCAAGGGAACTTACCAAATCTATGAATATATTAGTTATAATGGAAGTCAGGTTTCCAGCTGAGTCACAGGTATAGACATGAACAAAAGAAAACTAAAATGTAGCCAATAGTTTGAGATTTGAATCAGGGCCAATAGTTATCAGTGAAAGTTTTTTGTTTGTTTGTTTTTGTTTTGCTTTTAACATATACTAGTCCTGAAAGAGGAAAGAATATAAAACTCTGCTTATGCTTAGAGATGCCTGATGCAAGTATTACCTTGCTAGCAGTAAGCAAATAGCAACCAGAGAATTGTTTCTCAATCGCACTTTCCACTTTAAAAACAAAAACAAAAAATCCTTGGAAAGAATGGCTATAGGGCTGGTTCAAGACAAGTGAGTATATGTTAGTCCTAGCTGCTCCGGAAAGCAGTGTTCAAAACTGAGACAACCTTGTGAAAAAGAGGTAGAAGCCAGTTTAACAGGCTTTTTGGTCCATCTTGAAAACACCTACAGGAATGTCTCTCGGATAGTTAGTAAGCCACAGTTCTACAATGATATAAACAAATTAACTGGATGAATAACTGGGAAATGCAAAAGCTAATCTTTGCAGAAGAGTATCAATTAATTATATACAAAAATAGGCAGAATAAGAAAAATTATTATTGTTCATTAACATTTGTCAACTTGTAATAGTAATTAGTTCCAAACAGAAATATTAGCAGATGGTATAACTACTGAAAGATAGATGAGATAGGAGGTAATTACAAAATCTCAAATAGCTCTAGAAAAAAAAAAGTATTGGTATAAAAGACTGGCAAATATCTCCTTGATCAACTAATGCAAAAAGACTGAAATGGTGTGCTCTTGAGAAGATTACAATAAAAAACACTGTGATATTTCTCAGGAACAAAAAAAGTGTTCAACGTGGCGATGGGCATGAGGGTGCTTTCATTTAGTCCTATGACTCAAGAGGGGGAGGCAGGCGGATCCCTGTAACTTTGAGACCAGCCTTGTCTCCAAGCCAACGGGGCTACCTGGTAAGACTGTCTCAAAAAAACAAAATAAAACAAAAGCAAAAAAATGTACAACTTGGGTCTAGTCACAAGGAAATGTCAGTCATACTCTAGTGCTCTGTACAAAATGATTTGTCCGTCATTCTCACTAAGGCTAAGGCTGCAGTTGTCACAGAGAGTCTAACAGGACTAGGAGTCTGTGGCTGAGCAGCAGTGCAGGGTTCTTTTGCATAAGTGAGAGTGTGGGGACAGCTGCAAAATGACAGCTGTCAAAGCTGAATGAGTCTCTGGCTCAAGCTGAAGTATAGATAAGTTAGAAAGTGCTCTTGAAAAGTTCTCCATCAGAGGCTGTTTCAAAATAATTAAAAAAGGACTACACAAGCGCACACACACACACACACACACACACACACACACACACACACCACACATTCTACAGCACTCCTAAAGAACTTACCATGTACATTTAACTTATCAGAACATTTTATAAAATGACACTATATACAGAAAAAGCTAAGAAACTTTTAAACTGTGAAGAGTGAAAATTTGTGGCTGTCTCTATTTCATTTTGAACTTAAAATCAACCATACATTAAGACATTGTTTAGAAAACTCAAAATAAAAGTAGGTGTATGGCAATTAATACACATATATATTTACCAAAATAATTTTTATATCTTATCAAATCGTAACAGAATAAAACTAAAAATCAACAGCGAGAGAAATCCTGTGATTTCTGCATACATTTGATACTGAACAATATATTCTTGAATGAACAATGGGGTCATTGAGAAACCAGGGAAGAAAATTTCAAAACTTCCGAAAATAAAGAGAATGAAACACAGCTAACTAAAACTGTTAGGACAGAGCTAAAGCAGTTTTAAGAGGAAAACTTATAAAATGTGAAAACTTCTATTAAAAAAAAAATTCAGAGGGCTGGAAAAATGTACGATTCAGCAGTTAGAGCACAGGCTGTCGGTCTAGCAACTACATGGTTGCTCACAACCATCTGTAATGGGATCTGGATGCCCCCTTCTGGCATGCAGGCATACATGTAGATATAGCACTCATACAGAAAATAAATAAATAAATAAATAAATCTTTAAAAAAAAAAATCAGAAAGATTCCAAACAAATTGCCTGATAGACCATACGATCTGGGAAAGAGAAAAGCAATCCAAACCCCAACATGGTAAATAACAAGATATAATGAAGATCCTGGCAGAAATTAATGAAATAGAAACTGAGGAACAATATATTCAATCACTTGAGCAAAGAGTTGGTTCTTTAATCAGAAGAGAATGGAGACCCACAAAAATAAAAGTGATGAAAACAATGAGGCACGAACAAACTATACATAAACCCTGAGCATTATTAGGGAACACATATTCAAATCAATCAACCAACAAAAACCCACAAGAGAACGCTAGAAAAAAAAATTCAAGATCTGTATAAGTTACCCAAATGAAGGGAAGCTATTCATTCATAACCTGATCCAACACACAACAAGCTACAGCTGAACCAGTAATGCAAAGTCTCGCAACAAAGACGTGCCAGAGGACACATGAACTGCTAGTTTCTTCCAAATCTTTAAAGAAGAGCTAACCCTGATTGTTTTCAAACTGTTACATCCTGGAAGGACAAGGCCACTACCAAACTCACTCTGTGAAGTCAACAGATTCTGACACTCAAATGTGGTAAAAACACACGCAAAAGGAAACCATAAACCAATTTTCCTGGTGAAGAGAAACTTAGAAGTTCTCAAAATGTAAAAGAAGGAAACTAGGTCCTTATCTTTTATCCTGCATAAAAATTAACGGGCATAGAGAAAGCCTTTAAAAACCTTAATGTCAAGATGAGCAACATGGATAAAACAAATACCAAGCGACAGTGGTGTATAAGTCAGTGCTGTTTAAAACATACCATGATATTTAAACATTTTTACAGGCAATTCTGCACGTTTAAAAGCTTGTAAAAAAAATTGTTCTTTTCTTCCATGCCATTATTAAAGCCCCAAAAGAAATCTTAAGTTAAAAACACAATGGTCTTTTTGCAAAGTTTGTCAAAGAAGATGCAATCTAAAATTGTGGTACGAACTATGCCAACGCTTACTACAGCTGAGGCTCTACCAGGGGGTAGCGAGTTAGCGCCGGCAGCCAGCTCCGCTTTGTAGAACACTCACATTACCTACTAAACTATCCCCACAGCCTCTTCTGAACTGCAGCTGAGCGACTGTGACAGGGACTCTAGGGCACAGCAACCTTTACAGAATTGTCTTTGCAGAACAACATGCCAACTCTTCAGGCATATGAAAAACATCACGTAGACAAATTACAAATGCGAACCTGGTGGAGTCATCAGCGTTCTCCTATGCTCTTTACACCAACCAACTGGATGAATGTGTGGGCTGGACGATTCACACCTGCAGGTTATAGAAATTCAAAACACTGTGGTTACTAGAGAGACAGACAAGTGCTGTCGGAAGTTTTTAAGAGGAAAATTAATTAGTGGTTATGAACACATCCTAGAGTTCCGTGTATTACAATCTATCCAAATTGAAAAAAAAATGCTAAAGGATTTTTCGTTCTTCATATAAATTTATGTGTGATTTTCATACATATAGTATACCTTTGCTAGATAAATATCACATGGATGACACTACAGTTTTACTTTTACACATATACACAAAAATGCTGTTCAAGTCTAGAACAAATGCAGTAAAAGTCCAAAAGGAGCATCAATAACAAACATTACAGGAAAAAGTAAACTGTGGAAAAGGGAGGCTAAAATTACTTTAGCATCTCTAAGGCACATGTGTAAGACCACTGTCAAAACCAGCACGCTAGAGGACCTAAGGAAATTGGGAAACTGGTAAGGGGTCCCAGAATGGGCAGTGTTCAGGGACAGAATACACATGGAGTGAAGGCAGTGAAACAGGAGGGCTAACTAGCATTAAGGATTTTAAATACCACATGGGAGCTACTGCTGCAGGCATTTCCTAAAAAGTAAAAATATTAAAAAATGTATACATCCAATTGTACACATGCACACACACACAGTGTATAAATGGATTTATTGTATAATGGGGTCGATGCTTTTTCTAGATACCATAGACTCGCAAAACGCCCACTGCAGATAAACAAATACATAAACAGTAACAGCGTGCTATTTCTGTTACCCTCTGGAACTGCAGACACCGGAGAACAAAGGGAGTCACATCTTTCCTTTGTTGCATTCTCCTGCCCAGCAACTTTACCATAGTGAAGCACAGATGTTTCCAGAGCCTTCCCATCAGCACACGAAGCTGGTAATCTTGACTCTTTGCTCCTAAGCACAATTGTTCTGTGAATGCCTCACCTCAACACGTAATGTATTTCACCCACTTATCTGCTCAGCTGTTTTCTTTTAAGTATCAGGTGATGATAACATGATAAAAAGTGATATGCCTGGGCGGCCCTGAACAGACCCCGAGGAAATGGCCATGGTAAATTAGAGCTAAGTTTCTTGCTTCCGTGGCCCACACATCATTGTAATCCATATAAATAAAAGTAACTGACCCCTGTACTTGGAAGGGATTGGAGCCCAGGACCCATGAAGATAACAAATGCAGAGACAGTTCCTTATATAAAATGGTGTGGCACTTGCATATTCTGTTTGTGCATTCTCTTGGGTACTGTAAATCACCTCTAGACTACTTACAATAGCTAGTACAATGTAAACATTAGGAAACTGTTATGGGGAAATAAATTATTTTAAGCGTGTACATGTTTAGTACTTAGGCAACCATCACAGGCCTAATTAGATTTATGAGCTATGGCTGGCTCAAAGGAAAGAGGACAAGGCCAAGGATTAGGCTGAGATTGCAAAGGTGCTCCTTTACAGAGGTAGCCAAGACAGCTTCTTAAGAGACAATGAGCAAAGACTTGAAGGAGATGATGAGAGAGAGAGAAGTGAGCCATTCAGACACAGAAAGAAAACTATCCTGGGTAGAGAGGACAAGTCCAAATGTATTGAAGGGGGATCCTACCTAGCAGTAGGAATAGGAAACAGATAATGCAAAATTATGTCAGAACGGAAGTCTATTTAGTGCATATCACAGTGTAAGATTTTAGTCAAGAGTGAAGTAAAACATTGTGGAGGTGTCATTCACAGAAGTAGCTTAGTCTGATTCCTGTTTTAATGTACTCATTTTAGCTATTATGCCAACAGTAATCCATACCGGAAGCAGAAGCAAGAGCTAGTTGGAAGCTGACACAAATTGATCACAACAGCCTGGACCACAGTGGAGGTAGTGAGCACAGTGAGTGATCATATTTAGAGGAACACTCTACAGAGAACTAAGGGTGTTTGTCCGTACCTTTAACATAGGATGTGAGTGAACTGAAGAAGTCAGGACACTACAGGGTTCTGGGCAAAGGCAACATGAATGCGGCTGCCATTTATTTCCTGGGCTGAGAAAGACTGCTAGCAATGGCTCTGACACTAAAAGTGCTGAGAACACCTACTATCAGCATGTTTAGCAACACGAGTTAGACAAACAAGAAGGAACATCAAATAAATCACGGACACAAAAGTCTAGATAAAGTTCACACAGAAAGAAGATCAGGGCCCAAAGTATTCATTTTGGAGTTATCAGCATTTGGGATAATACTTAATCCACCTGCAGACCCAAGACAATCCAGAGTGAAAGAGGAGGGGGCAAAGTCCATGTCAGGTGACTGGGAAGTGACATAACAGAGGAAGTCAACTGGATTCAAGCCCTTCACCTGTCAACGGAAAGGTCTCCAGGATCAGTGACAGGAGCACAACACAAAAGTTGGGACAAACTGGGGTTAAGAGAGAATGAAAAAAGAGGTGAAGCAGACAGTGAGACAGGAGCTCAGGTGTAAATGGATGCACCAGAGGGCAACAGTGAAGGTTTGCTTTACAGCTTGTTGGAAAATTGTGGGGTACACATGGACATTTTCTATTCTCTAAGCTATTTTAAAGCTTTCAGCTACTTGAAAAGAAAAACTGCTATCTTGTTGTTGTTTTAACAAGAGAAGTACACAGTAGTCAGAAAGGAAATAAACCCTGTGATGGGGGCATTCTGTATGCTAAAGATACGTCAGGGTTCAAAACAAACTCCTCCTCCCTCACGTGTGCACCGGTAACAATGACTCATCAGTGAGCATGATGTGCAGGTGCAGAGGAGAGGACTCGAATCGGAGTCACAGGGTGGGACCCCGGGGGAGCAGCTGAGCTGGTCACCTGGATGGAGATCAGGAAGGTGAGCCAAAGGAGGTGCAGGAGGCAGAAGGCTCTTCTGGCTTTCTCTCAGTTAAATATGATAGGAAGCGTCTGTGTGGGAGGGCAACAGAATTAGGGTGTAAGAAGTCTGAGAGAGAAGAAAACTAGAGGGACATGGAGTAGTCAGGAGGAACAGACAAGGAAAGGCAAGGACTGAGGGCCCAGCTGACCTTCACAACAACAGCCACAAATGGAAAGTCATAGGAGTCAGCATGAGGTGTCCCTGTCTCTAGCTATGTTGAAAGGCACAGGGACAGTAGGCAGGGATTCAACCTGCACTGGGATGGTGCCAGACAAGTATACAAGGACACTGAGACTAGAGCCGCAAGGGAGGCTGACAGGCACACTATAGCATCATTCATAAAAAATGATTAGAACCTTTCCCTGCCTGTGCAGGGATAACAGGTATTCTGAAACTATACACACACACACACACACACACACACACACACACACACACACACACACGGAGAGAACAGAAAGAGAGGGGAGACAGAGACCAGATCTGATACTTGGGTCCAGATAAACATAAAGTGTCAAGATATTTCAGCACAATATACTCCACTTTAGATAACTTCAGTACACAGCAAATTAAAAGACTCTAAAGTTTCACTATAAAGAAGCCAGTTTTCAATTATTTAAACCAGCATTTCCTGAAGGCAATTAGTTGTGAGATACTATTTTGTTAGGCAAACCTTTAACATCACATGGAACATGGCAGTTCTATAAAACTTGGCTTGGGAAATACTAGTCTAAAGGTTACTAAGGGACCAGAGTCCAGTCTTGCTGTATAAACAGATCTGCTGTGTCTGTCCTGAGAGATGTTAGAATCTCAACCCATCCATAAAGAATGCTTAGATCCTTTCCCCACCTGTGCTCTCAAAGATAATAGATATTCGAAAACCTACATACACACATACCCACACCCACCCACCCACCACAGACACGAGAGAGAAAGATAGATAGAAAGAGAGAAGGGGGGGGGGAATGGGATACTAGAAGTTCATAGAAAGCTGGAAAGTATCAAAGATTGAAGTTACCAATAAGTAAGAAAGGCAAGTAAGCAGTAAAAACCAAAAGCTTTCTAAGAAACATACTAAGTGAATGAGATCAGCATAGTTTCTCAAGGGCACAGTGTCAACAGTAACACATGCTGAGATGGAGAAACCACTACTTAAAGCTGATTTTTCTCAGAGCTTACTTCACGAGAAAATACTTTAACTTCAGACTGGAGAAATGGCCCAGTAGGGAAGAGCACTGGTGTTCTTCCGGAGGACCTGGGTTCAATTCCCAGAGTCCACGTGGTTGCCCACAACCATCTAGAACTCCATCCAGTTCCAGGGGATCCGATTCCCTCTCCTGGCATCAGCAAGCATTACATACATAAGATACACAGACATGTAGGCACACAAAACAACCACAGATATAAAAAGTCTTTCATAAAAGGCCGCTTAATATGTAACTCCTTATGATGTACTGTTATAATCAGATTAGTATGGTTGTTTGGATAATCTCAGCTTTTCTTAATCATTTGGTTATGAATGCTTACTGACAGTATAGTACTTTTAAGAAAGTACTTATATTTCTATATAAATACTTTATACATCAGTTTGTAAGGACTGATTATTGTTTTCCTTGTGATACAAAAAGAGGTTGTTTGTCTCTTTAGAGTAATAACTGTGTTAACTCTATGATTTAGAAACCTCAGAAGTGTGCTATTCTCAGATGATACTCTTGCCTTGCATTGGCTGTAAAAGCGTTAGAGTTGAAGCTAAGTTAGGAAGTCTTGACTCATCTCACAGAGTCACCTAAGAGAGAATCTTAGAGAAATCACATCACACAACTGGAAACATCTGTTCTGAAACAACACCGTTGCTCTCTGAACGAATCTGATTTTAAAGATGGGACTGAAACAATTTTCTTTTAAATTTAACGTTAAGTCATATATAATATACAAAGTAAAATCATAACTAATATTCATAGCAAAATATTGTACCTATTTATTATGTAGTATATAATTTTTCAATACATGAAAACAATTATTCTCTTTTTCTTTTTAAAAGAAAGAAAATTACTTTGAAGGAAGAAAAAAGGAAGTATTCAAAAATAGCTTCATAAAAAATAGTAAATATACTCTGGTTTAATTCTTTCCCTTGTCAAATAGAACTGTAAAGTATAAGCCAGACTCATGGTGATTATTTCAAAACAAGAATAAAAAATGTCCCTAACTTTACTGGGTTTCTCTGTACATTACAATTAAGGAAATCTACAGCATATTTCTTATTGCCTAAACCTAAGATAAGGTCTTATTCATAAGTATATATTGATTAAACTCTCCATCTCAACAGAGAAGATAAGCATAGCCCGCACTGACCACACAGCACTTCACTCAAAATTTGGAAGGCTCCAAACTCATTTCTTTGGCCACCATACAACAAACCCATAGAGTGTTCAAAGGCAGAAATATAACAAAAGGAGGAATAAGGAACTAACTCACAGCAAAGCAACCTTTACTGGACCTATTTCAATCACTTATGTTTTTATGTAAAATCACAGGAGAGGTAAGTGATTTCACTAAACAAGTGAAAACTAATCACAAAGTCTCCTGCGATCCATTCAGATCAAGACTGGTACCTTCTGAAAGGCTCAGGAGCAAAACAATTCACAAAACCCCCTCATTATTTATGACTCAACTATAAAGTAAGACAGAAAGATGATGCTACAGAAGCAAACAGGTTAAGTGAGTACCCAGGCCCTGGGGTTGAAAAGACAGATGTGTTCTGTTGGTGGAGATATTTCCTTAGCTTAGACTAGCCTTGAAATTACTGTGTAGCTGAGAATGACTTTCGCCTCCTGATCCTCTTTCCCCTACCTCCCAGATTAGATTAGAGGTTAGAAGTATATACAATCATATCACAGCCAAAAAGGACATAAAGCTATGTACATGTGCAAGGCTAGGTAGAGAGCCAAGCAAGCGTATTTCTGGGCACTTATTTAAGGTAAACATTAATGTATCTTTCAAGCAACAGTGGCCGCAGACCTGTGAGATATGACATGAACCTATTCCATTTGTCCTACAGCATGACTGCCAATTTACTAATCAGGACCTGACTGCCCCAGCTACCCAGGAAACTCTCTGCTTTCCTAAGAAACCCCAGATTTCATCCAGATGAGTTACCTAGTTCTCCCTTCCATCCCCAATTCATATTAATTATTATGCTTTTTGCTTAGAGGCTCTTGATAACATACTCACTTGGCAAAGATCAAAGTGATGCCATTTAGTCACCCTGGGATCAAACTTTTGTTTCTTCATTTTCTCTAGGCTAAGAGAGAAGTGATTAATGTGACCACTAATCTAGTATCAGATTTTTTTTTTTTTTTCTGAATGTCCCTTACTGTCACCTCCTCTACCATTTGCAAACTGATTTCTGGCCCCAAAACTTTTGTTTGAATCCTTGCAGCAAGTGACAAAGTAGACATTAAGTAATCTACTCAATAATCAGGATGCCAATCTCCACAAACCCTACCCTTGGGCCAAACACATGCATGCCCTTCTTGGCCAGTGATTCTCTGTCCTACCATGTGCCAATCTTATTTCATGGTATAATTCTAATCCTCTGTCTTCTGATAAGCTTTTCCCTGGGAGCTCTCCAGTCAGGTTGAGTCAACCCTTTACTTCATATGCCACAGAAGACAGCAAAAGTTGGTGCTAAAAATACCAATTAAACACTAACTACCAGTGACAGGTGACATGTTTCTCTTCTGCCTCAGAACAGAGGCCCCCAGGGCTGAAGTTTAAGACTCTCTAAGTTTCATTCATTCCATGTCCCCCTCTCACCACCAAAACACCCAGTGAACCTCCAATTAAACTCAGTAATAAAAGCCTGTCACCTTTGGTACCACTCTAAGACCCATGTTACAAACACATCAGTGTTATATGAGGAAGACACAGAAATTATTATTATTCCGAATCGTAAGCATAAAAGAGATCTACCTTTAAGAACAGTTTGTAGTTTCCTTAGGAACAGTTGGGAAAAGGTTTCATTTAAATCACTAATTTGATGCTTCCCTTTCCACAGATCTATTCCTTCCTGACTTTTGCCCTTACTCACTCAAATAACAACACCAAAATGAAACCAAAGTGGCTGAGGGTGCAGCTCCATTCACTCAGGGCTTTGTGCTAAAGATGCTAAGTCCTTCTGTCCTGAATACCCAAAGACAAGGTCACATGAAAATAACATTTTTGACCAAAAAAAAATTTTTTTTTTTCCCTCAGGGCCTGGGAGGGAAAGAAGAGGTGACTATTCTATTTTAAGTTTTGTTTCTGGAGCCCAATATCAATCAGGAGAAAGGTAAGAGGGAAAGAGGCTGTGTATGCAATAGGTTGTGGAGTACAGTACTTCTAAGGTCCTTGTAACAGGGCAAGACAGTGCAGAGGTTCCTCCATCTTGTAGTCTAGCTGAGGCTATTTAAGGTTTAACTAGAATTTGATCCCCTTGATGGAGAATCCTATGGAAAACAACCAAACTGTATTCTAGGAACCCAAGGTCAAGATGCCCCAGCTAACTCACCTTAGTGTCTGCTAAACTGCCTGTTTATGCAAACCTCCAGCTAACTGCTTAATCTTAACATCTGTTAACCCACTTGCTTGGGCAAAACCGCCCCCTGCAGCTGCAAAACAAGATACTAGGTAGTGGTTTTTGCCTTTAAAAACCCTTTGCCCTAAACACACTAAACACCCGGTGCAACACTTGAGTCCAGAATACCTGAGTGTAGTCCTAGCCGACTGGAATGAAGACTTTTAATTGTCTACAGGCGGAGTCTGAGTGCTCATCCATGATGGGTGCTCTGTAACAAACAGTCCTCACTTTCCTTCCATCAGTGAAGTAGTTTCTAGTCTCAATATTCTGTGATATTTAAGATTATTTCTAAGTCTAACAATCACCAGTAAACCCAGAGGTAAAGCTATTTTATTTCCAGCATATACTATTTTCCTTCCTTTAGTCCTACATACATTTTCATCATGTTGCTCTTTAGAAGGAAGAAACACTTTATTACAACTAAATATGCAGTATCTTGATGTAGACAGACAGATGCATGCTTTCCATTCCCTTTGTGTAAAATGGAATAGAGCATTCCTGGGAGACTTGCTTCAAAACTACTTTAAATCAAAAAAGAAAGAAAGAAAGGAAAGAAAGAAAGAAAGAAAGAAAGAAAGAAAGAAAGAAAGAAAGAAAGAAAGAAAGAAAACCTGTAACCTCAATTACTCACCAAATTTACGCAGGAAAAAAAAGTGAAAATATAGTAGATAATGGCACTGGCCACTAATCCTGACAACCTGAGTACAAGCCCTGAGATTCACATTTCCAAACATTGTTCTGTGACCTCCATACACACTCCCCCAAATAACTATAAATATATGTCATAAATTTTTGAGGAAGAAAAAGCAGAAAGGTGGCTATACTTATGTAAGTCAACATTCACAGTACTTCCGACATACCTCTAAAATATTCTTATTTCACATTCTCAAGACAGAAACACTTCAGAAATGGTTTTCACCAGGAAAATCATTCTATTCATCAGCTGTGTAATCAAAATATAATGGTTTAGGCTAAGGCTGTATCTAGAGGTAGAGCACTTGGCTAGCTTGCATAGGAACTTGGGTTTGATCCCGAGCATCGCAGAGATTCAAGTAAGATCAGTGCTCTATCACAATAATTTGATAATTATAGTTCCATAGGATGGCCTTCTTACTATTGTATGTAGTGTATCTAAAAATGGTAAGGACTAAAAAAAAATAAATTCCTAAATTGTATCTTTTGTATTCAACTATCAGAATGGTTCAATTAGCTGAGCGTAAGAATATGGAAAGATGATTAATACCACTTTCTCACAAACATATACTCAAGATGAGGAAAGTGAGCCTGTGCACACACGTACAGGTGGGTGTCTGTTGGGAATACAGGGATACAAATTTTAATTTTATGTTAGGAAGTCAAATTCAGTGCAGAACCTGAGTCGCCCAAAAGGATCTTCATTAGAAATACACGGCCCTAGAAATACAATGTGGGGCAAGCAAAAACTTACAACTCTGAAATAGGAAAACATACGGCAGAACTTTGATTTAATTTTGCTTTTTATGCTTTCATCTTATTATAATTTTCTGCATTTGGGCATTTTTGCCTGCAGGTATGTCTGTGCACCACCATGTGTACAATGCTCACTGCCGGAAGCGGGCACTAGATTCCCCAGAACTAGAGTTAAAGACGGCCATGATTTGCCACGTGAGTGCTGCTACCAACCCAGGTCATTTGGAAGAGCAGCCTGCACTCTTAACCACGATGGCCCCATCTTCAGCTGCACCATTTTAATTTTTTCGAGACAGGGTCTCATATAATCCTGGTTGCTGTCAAAACTCCCTAGGTAGCAGAGGATGACCTTGAATTTCTGACCCTCCTGAGGCAGGAACGATGTCAGTCGCTATTTGTCGTCAGAGCTTTATTGTTTTGTTATAAACTTTACACCATCCCTTATTTTGACCTGGGTTCTTACTTTCCCTGGATAAGCATTACATTTTCAAAAGCATATATTAGTGGAAACTCTCTTACCAATAGTCATAGCTCTCATCCCAGTTGTCAAAATGCACCAGGAAGCGATTGTCCACCATATCTGTTACCGTAGCAACACAGATGAAGGAAGGGCTCTTTTTGTCTGCAGCCTCGAGCTTCATTCCGACTCGAAAGCCTGATGGGATCACTGTCTATGGAAACATGCAGATTTAATTAGAGATGTGCGCACACCGCACAACAGTGAGACCTACGTACTCTGTACCCCGCTTTGAGGACAGGCACCCACAGCTGTAGTCACCTAATTTGAAAATGCTATGCCAGCCTCACAGTGGGGTTGCTTTCCACGGGCAGCAGTAAAAAAACAGCGCTATACAGTTACATTCAATTAAGCAAGCCTCAGAATTAAAACATCTGCAACCTTGCAGAGTTTAAAAGAATTAATTTCAGCATGTGTTTTAACACCTTAGAAAGGAACCATATACTAGGCAGGCAAGTTTTATTCACCACATGGCTGGCTGACTGACCTTCTTTTTCTTGGTTACAGATTGGACAATGAAAATTATTTCATACAAAAGATGCACTTAATTGAGTTAAAAATGTGGAGTCAGTACAAACTCACTTCTACCTCTGCAGAGACCTCAAGAGTACGCCACAGAAAGTAGGCCACCTTCACATATGAAAAGCCTCCTGCTATTTCATCTCCGCCTGGCTTCAGTACTACAGTTTTAGTCACAGCGGCAGCGGAGGCGCTGCCTGTTCATACACTGTCATTAGGAAAGTTGAGTATTTTAAGGAAATCCATAGAGTCCCAGTCATCTGGGATTTACTATGAAAACAGTAGAAGTTCACCAAGTCAGTACTTGAGGGGCAGCGATGTGTAGGCAACCCTCATTCTTCTGTGGGAAGATAGGGTCATCTCAGAATAGGATACTTGAGTAGCCATTATGTCAGCCACAAAACAATGTACGTCATTTCTACCTTCCAAAAAAAGCCCTTCATTTTAAACTGGCGCATATGGGCACTATTTTTTTATTTATTTTTAACTTGGGCACTATTCTAATGCTTTATTTAAACAAACAAATGCTACCTCTCATTTTCCAGTGAAAGATTAAAGTAAGAGTAAAATTACATAGCTTATGGTTGCAAAAATGTAAGCATATATCTGAAGATGGTATAAGTCCTGAGTGAATTAAATAGGCACATGCAAATAACATACAGAGCACTAACCATATGCTTGAACCCTGAAATTATCTACCATTTATGACCATAAATATCTGACTATTCTGAGGCAGAGAATCTAGAACTAGAAAAATTAATTACCTCTCAAATGCCAAAGCCCAGCCTAAGATTAGGTAATTACGTCTGGAATGCAGTGATGGTTCAGAGCAGTCCATCACAACCTGATGCAAGTCATCATCAGAGGCGCAGTGCGGGGGCAGAGCCAGCAGGCTGCTGAGTTTCCACCCAGCGACCTTCCTTCCTCCAGGGAAAGGTCTTGTCAGTATGTGTACTGACGGGGCAGTATTTACATTCCAGCTATTAAGCTGTCTGCCCAATTAAGAGATAATAAAATGGGCTGACCCTCTCTCTCTCTCTCTCTCTCCCTCTCTCTCCCTTCATTCTTTAAGTCAACCTGGTTTATGTCCAATTTAATCAGAGCACTTTCTTTCATTAGGGTTGTGCCCCCAAACCAGCTGCCTGGTATCACTGCCCAGAGGGAAACTTTTTCCCACTGCTGATTACTTGTTCCATTTGAAGGGAATCCCGATAGTGACGCTGCCGCCTCTCTATCCTCTTTACTCCCTGCTACCCAAAGAATGATTCCACATAGAGCCAGGCTGCAGAGCCATGTATTCTGCTGTCTTCTGGGGGTCCAGGGCTCCCTGGTGTTGCAGTGGTGAAGGTGGATAGAAAAAAGAAAAACAAAACAAAACAAAACAAAAAAAAAACAACTTTGATTCCAGGGCTCAGAATCAAGAGGCTCATTTGTCTGCAGTGAAAGGTCATATGTCCCTTCCCATTTAGTCCTTGTCAGCTACAAGGATGACATTTCGTTTGCCCCTGTTCTAATTAGATCACATCTTGGGAAAGGAAGACTGTAATACATCAGGCACCCTTGGAATTGCAATGGGAGGAACAGGGAACGAAAGGAGAAAGACAGCAAAGAAATAGAAAATATATACACACACCTGTCTTTGCTTTTACAACAAAAACTATGGTAAACAAAGATATGAGCTGGATAAAGGCATGGTGGAGTCCCTGGTGACCTCCTGCCTGCAAACTCAAACAGGGCTGCATCCATCTTACCCATACCAGTGACTCCCATCTGGCCAGTGCTCTTAGCTAAACGACGGTAACAGAATAACATTCCAGCCAATTTAATTTTTATGCATCTTAACTGTAAGCCACACCTGGATTTTATATTATGTTGTCTTCTACCATTCACTGATATGTCTATAAAATAGATATTTATTCATGAAGAACTTATGCTAATTTTAAAGTTTAATTAAGATACGAGAACTCTACTTACCAAGGCAATAAAATTTATTATAGTTCCTTGTTATCGCTTGTGATTTATCCTGTGAGACACTAAAAACAACCACTCGTTCTGAAAAGAAAAGTACTTTGGATGCACTTACTATGTTCTGATTTTCAAATAATGACTTAGGAGCAGCCTGGGCTTTGCACGTCTTCAGGTAGGACTGCCAGTTAAATTCTTCTTCCTTATACCCTAGGGTAAAAGCACATGTGGACAGACTTAGGAAAACCACAAAGCACTACCAGCTAATTCCCAGCCCTACTAGGCTTGAGGTTGGTGTTAATATACAGGTGATTCAGCTGGCCTGCCTTCAGGGTCCTAGCCTATGCATTACACTTACATACAGATAAAAGAGATCTGTATGGAAAAGTTGTTTATACTCAAGAATTATTATTCAGGTACTATTTTATATGCAAATGATTCATTCTCTTAAATTAGATTTTATTTTATTTCTTTGACTTTTAAGAAATACATTTTATACCATGAACAATAAGCTTGAATTAATTATAATAAAGAATAATTTCTAAAAAATTCCAAGTTAGGATTTAAGAAAGCAAAATTTTACTGAATTGAAAGCATGAAACAAGAAGTAGCAGTACCTTTTGGAGGGTGTAGTTTATGGCCCGTTTTCTCACACCACCCTACTGGGTGGATGTCCAAAGCATCTGCATTTACCCAGAAGTCATAGCAATCCGAATAGCCATCAAAGTGAAGCTTTATCCTATATCCACAAACCTGAAATAAATACGCAGGTCGAGTAAGTTCAAACAAACACACACCCACATACACCCACACATACATACATGGAGACACAGACACACACAGCAGCACACACACACACACACCTACATGCACACAAAAACACAGAGACACACACACACAGAGGCATACACACACAGACACAAATACACACGGACAGCACACACACAGGCATATACACATACACACATAGGCCACAATAAATTAGCTTAAGTATCAGGTATGACATGCCTTTAGGGAGGTTAAGAAAACGGCCTTGTCAGTAAGGTGCTTGCCACTCAAAAGTGAGGACCCACAAGGAGCTGGAGGCTGAGAGCAGAGCTGTGATACACACTCCCAACCAGTGAGTATCTAGAGTTTCTGTCATGGAAAGGCCTCTAAAGCATTCTATTAAAATCCACGTGGCAGACCAAATTATACGAGGTGAGTCAGTCTGTGGGCGAACTATGTGTGCACTTACATAGATGTTGTGTATCTCCTTCTAAGGATGAATGGACATTTAAATACATATTTACATGTATGTACAAACTCACAATTAAAGGTAAAGGATGTGACAACATATTGACATTTATTTCTTCGGGGAAGTGGCAACTGAAAGAAGGTACAAACAATGGGAATGATGTCCCATATATTATTTTTTAATTAAAATGCATCCGTATATAGCATATGTAAACGTACAATTAAGCCTACTCCTCCCAGAATCTACATTCCCAGGTGACACCAGTGTCCCTGCAAAACACAGTATCTCAGGAAGGCTGAGGGCTGCTCCCACCTCCACCTCCTCATGCCCAGAGGGAGCAGGCACCTCGTGTCTACCTTGCCTTGCAGGTAGTGGTCTCTGCTTCACTCCCACAGGTTAAGCCCTTTGGTCCTTTATAGGCTCTAGTACCTTGTGGTTATAGCCTCTAGTCCCTTGTGGTAACAGTACTCTGAGCTTGTCCTCCAGAATGCTGTGCTTTGGTAAACAACCTCCTATGTTCTCGGCCTCCCTGACTAGAGACTCCTCTCAAGCTCTTCCTTACCACAAGGCTTCTCCTTGTCCACCATGGACCCCTATACTCTGCTCCTCCAAGCTTGGGTCACAGGATTGCACTCTCTCTCACCCTGGTCACCCTCAGTCCTTTCCTTCTATCACGTCCCCTGTGCTGTACCTGATGCCTCCTCTCCATTCTGAGGACTTACATGTCTTTCATTTCCTATGTTAGACATGTGCTCCAGCAGGAACTGCCATGCCTTTCAACTTCCACAATAAAGATCTAACCCTAGAAAGAAAGCCTTCTAATTGTTAAGCCACCTTTTCCCAAGCATGCACCTACATTAATGTACCCACACAACTAGCCTAGGGAATGCTTGAGACAAAAAAAGTGAGTCCATTTTCATTATTCATAAATTCTATACCTATGAATTTACTTGCTTGTTAAAACTTATTTCTCACCCAAAATAACATACCCGGTGCTTGTAGAAAGGTAAGTACAGAATGGCAATCATATGTGAGTCACCCAAGATCCAGGTTCCCAGCAGGGACTGGCAGGGCCATCCTTTTGAGACTTTCCTCCTACGAATGAGCACCCTATGTACTGTCCATTTTGTACCATGTTTTCTACATCCTTGTCCTTTCTGTTAGTGATTTCACTCAGGAACCAATAAGTTCCCAGAATGCTATGCTGTACCTAACAGAGGAATAGTGTGGCTTATGGGGCCTTCTTCCTTGCTCGCTCTGCAGTGTTTGCTGATGAACGAAAGTTCTCTTTCAACAGAACAATAATATAGCTAAGGAGTCATCAAATAAAAGCAAGTATGTGTGCTGGCCAAAGTACTGTGGTCAGAGGCTCATGGGAACCTAAGCCTACATTTCCTGTAGGAACAATGGTTTCCCAAGAGCTAATCTGAGGGATGTAATAATTTGAGCAAGAAGAAAAGAGTCATAAGAATCAGCTACCCTGCTGGTAATCCCAGCACTCAGGAAACTGAGGCTGCAAGATTACGACTGAAAAAAGAAAGAAATTCAACTACGACAGAATGTTGGCTTTCTCCATTACAAAGGTATGTTCCTAAGGAACAATCCAGCTCCCTTTCTCATTATTCAGACCAATCTTTCCTGCCTCGCCACCCCCCACAGCTACCAATCCAGTTATTTCCATTCCTTTGACAATCCTTCAACACCTGTGTCAAAGAGGTTATCCTGTCTGCCTCAAACAGGCAAGCCTGCCTTACTCAGGTCCCAGCCTTTACCCCTTCTTCCTGTTCAAGTGCAGGGAAGGTCTGCTCCTTGGAGTAAATGCCCAAAGCCCCAGGGTATCTGGACCCCATCTGCTCTTTTGCTGTCTCCAGGGCAGGGGGCAGATTAAAATGAATAGAAAACCCTTATTCAGTCTTAGGTAAACAAATTCTCACACATTCTTGGTGAGATTTAAGAAATGACAAACTCAAAGAAATCTAGTTAAACCTAAAATGGCCTCGGCAAGAAAAGGAGCTGGAGCTCCTGGATCGGCAGGTCACATAAGCAGTGATAATGTATCAGAGACATGCATCCATCTTTCCACTCAGGAGTTCCAGCGTTGGCTCTTACAGATATGCATAAGCAGAAACAAGAGACAAAAGGACATAGTTGATCAAGAACATAGTTGATGACGATGGGTGGTGGGGATAGGGTTCCACTATGTAGTGTCTGGCTTCAAAGTGACCACCCTCCTGCCTTAGAGAAATAGATGCCCATTCACTTGATATCAACGTGCAAGCAGTTGAAATGAACAAAGGCAACTCCATGGAACAAGTGTCAGTCACCTAAGAACTGTCCACATTCCAGAACCAAGTTCCTCCCTGCATTCAGTGACTCAGTGCCCACGCCCTGTCGTCATCACTAGCAGCAACACAACGTGCTCCATCTGTTCCCAGCATATTTTCCCTATACACATGCTTCATACCCCCTGTAAAACCCACACCATCGTGGTCTGGTCTGCAGCTGACTGTTTTCTAGTGCCTCTCAGAGGCAGCCATTTTGCAGACCCTCCCCAGTGAGTCTGTTACATGAAGTCTGTCACATGGTGCGATTTTTTTGTGGCATTCCTTGGCCCTGATCAAGAAGACCCGATAGTAAAAAAAACAAAAAAAAAAAAAAAAAACAAAACAAACATATATATGTCACAGAAACGAGGCAGATTATGCATAATGTAACATTTACATATAAAGGATAAAACTATATACAACTTGGTGTGCAGAAGGCATCGAGAAGCAAGCAGTTTATGGTAAGGGTGCTCTCTGGGCTTGGGCAAGAGGTAGATGAAATCAGTACGCCTAGACTGCAGTTTTTACAAGGAGCGAACAACTTTTTTAATGAAAAACCTACACTAAGTAAAATAAACCTACAAACCACAGGAGTCGGGGCTGGACAGGTAGCTTGGTAATAGAGGTGTTGCCTAGCAATGAGTGAAGCCCTGGGTTCCCTCGGCAGTGCCACAGAGAAGAGGTTAACATCGCCTCTCTCCCCCACCACCATTCTTTCAGAGATAACGCTCTTAAAAGCAATTCAGATTGACTGAATCTCGACCCAATCCTGTCTGCAGATCCTTCCCTTAAACACCATGGCCTCATCTCCAGACACAGCACCCACCACAGCTGCTGTCCGCTCCCAACGCCCCTCAGTGACACTGGGCACACAGTTTCTGTCCTCTCCTGTGACCACACACAGTCATTGCACTCGCTGTGTTCTGCAGGAGCCAAGCTTCATACAAGGCAGTCCCGGAAGTAACTACAATAACGGAAACTGCTTTACTCCTTTGGGGCAGAAGGTTTTTAAAAGATCCATAACTCTACCTCAAAGGAAGGACGGAGGAAGGAGGGCTACCACATGAGGAAAAGACATTTTGTAAGTGTTCTCAGTTAGACAATGGATGCATTGTTGTGTGTGCAATACTTGGCTTACTTTTTCTTGAAAGTTTCAGAGACATCCCAAAACACTAAATGTAAGTAAACACATATGTACATACATGTGCATACATATATATGTATAAGTATATGCACCGCCCAAATATACATGTATGTGTATATACATAATACTCCCACATATATACAGATATTTATATATGTTGCTAAGTTCCTTTTGTCAAGGAACATACAGTATGGCAAAGTCTGTGGGACCACACAGACATTACTCCAAACCCCGGGGTCACCACCATGAGAGATAATACATGTAAAAAAGGCTAAGCGTTCTGCCTCACATGAAGCAAACACTCAGCCAAAGATATTTTTTTGCATCATTAAGGCCCCGTGGCCACCATTTTTCTTTTCCAAACACAGGGCAAAGCTCACCTCGGCCACAGTGAGGACACAGTACACAGCCTGATGCTCGGGGTCCACGCCTTCTAGTTTCATGCCGACTTTGAACCCGTTTTTGCTGTACGGAAAGGACTGATGCTGCAATGCAAAATGACAGCACCATTACACCACCAATAGGACCAGCTCATAGCAGGGACAGCTGCTGTCCCTAAAGAGTCCTTGGGGCTGGCTTATGCCTCATAACACTGAGGGCAAAGCTGGGTAGGGTCCTATGTTCCATCCCTACCCTCTCAACGATGACTCTCATGTAAATTAATAAAGCATTCCTTTAAAAAAAAATCCCCAAAGAAAAGGGCTAAGGAATATGATTTACAGCCTTTCAGACATGTGAAGAGACAGTCAGCTTTGCCCATCAGAATCACAAAATATATTTCCTGTTAGACTGGTGAAGATTAAAGAGCTTCATAGCTCTGGGCTGCAAGGCCCCATGAAAACAGACATGGACTACTACGAATAAAAGTCTGAAAAAAAAATCACTAGAAATTTCATTCTATCTACAAAAAGTTGAGCCTTCTCTCAGCAATTCTAACTCTAGGGAATTACCTAATGGAGATACTCATGCATAAGCAAAATGCCAGGTGTGCAACACCATTTCTTAAAGCATTTAGCAAAAAAATATAAAAACATGTCTGTGTGTGAGCCAATAGGGAGCAAGTTAATTTTTTATGGAATAAATATAAGTTTAAAATACTACGGCTTAGCATTAAAAAAAAAAAAATGGAGGAATCAATGACCTGAGATGAAATAATATCCAAACTATAAAATTAAAAAGCAAGTCTAGCAAAGTATGGGCCAGCCATTGCCCACTGTGTTTTAGATAGGACAGAAACAGGTAGGACACTGTAGGAAGAAAACGCTAGCCCCTTCAGCAGAGATATGTCTGGTGTTTAGGGAAAGAAAGCAACAAGAGCCAGACTTACTGCCTTTTAGTACTGACAATCTGAATCATATGAATGTATTATTATTAAAGTAATTTTTAAGAATATGAAAAGCAAGGGATGGAGAGGTAGCACAGTAATTAAGAGCACTTGCTTCTCTCACAGAGGATCCAAGTTTAGTTCCCAATACCCTCATTATGCGGCTCATAATGTTCCATGCCGCCAGTTCCAGAGGATCTTACATTCTCTTCTGGCTTCTACAGAGAGTCACTCATGTGCACATTATTTAAAAAAAAAAAAAAGAAAAAAAATCATTCTTTAAAACTTAAGTCAGAGGCAGGCTGATCTCTGAGTTCAAAACCAGCCTGGTCTACAGAGTGAGTTCCAGGACAGACAGGGCTACAGGGAGAAACCCTGTTTCAAATAAACAAAACCAAATGAAACAACAACAACAAAAAAAAAAAAAGAAAGAAAGAAAAATTAGGTAATCTTTGCTTGGTGGCAGCTGAATACTCTTTTAATCCCAGCCCTTGAGAGACTAAGGCAGGTGAATTTCTGTGAGTTTGTAGCCAGCCTGGTCTATAGAGCAAGTTCCAGGACAGCAAAGAGAAGCCCTGTTTCTGGGGTAGGGAGTGGAGGAGAGTGAAAATCTATTCTGTAAAGAACCAAATGTACAAAAGAAAATAATTATCCAGAACAAGTTGTAATTATAAAATTACATTTGAATTAAAATTCTCAATGCTGATATCACTCATATAATCGGTATACTTCCTTCTTGTTCATTCACAGATAGACACTCATGGAGGTTTAGAATCCATTAAGTGGCTTAAATGATGAGTCAGCAGACTACAGTCATGTATCGGATCTTAGCCACCAGAGCACTGTAAATAAGATTCTGCTGGGGCACAGCCATTCCTGGTAATTTACATGTTATCTTTGGCTGCCTTCATGCACATCACGGAACAAGCTCAATTATGGCAACAGACTCTGGATGCCCTGCAAAGGCTAAAAGATGTCACCCTTCTCAGAATAAGTATGCCGGGCCCTGTTTTAGACTAGCTGCAAGAGATCCTATCCAGAGCTATCACTACTATGTACACTTTAAAGTGATTTCTAAATTACTTAGAATATCCTCACTAGTAATACTGCCCAGTAAACCATCTTAAATGTGTCTTACCAGGACGTGTATCTCAGTAACTCATTTTCAAACCCTCACAACTCGTTTTCCAGTTACAGTCTTCCTACCATGCAAGATGAGTGGGAGCCCAGCAAATGCTGAGGGGGTTCTGCAAGCACGCATGGTGTACACAGTGCTGCACACACTAATGATAACGCTAGTCACAGCTGCCTTGTGAGGGGTCCTCCACACAGCACGGTCATGAAAAAAACATATCCAAGCAATCGTTGCAAGTCACACTCCCTAAGTAGATCGTGGTATGACAGTATGACTTCAGATGAGCGGTCCTGATCTTCTGCGTTTACACATGGTGTTTTTAGGACTCATACCTCTTTGAACAGCTTTGCAGGCACAGCCACAGCTTTCTCCTCCTCCAGGTAAGATGCCCAGCACCATGTTTTCTTGCCTTTAGGAGGCAAACCTAAAAGACAGGAAACCAAGTGATGGACTGTCCAAAGCTAAGAAATCAGTGTACGACATCTCTCTTCCGCAACCACTACGCTCCCTGGCTCTTCCCTTTCCACGGCTATCACTTCTCTCATTTTTCTGGTCCCTCTACCAGAGAAACAAGAGCTGGGAAGTGAACTGTGGTGCAAATATCCAATCGATGAGGCAGAAGAGAGTGGAAGAACTTGAAATACATGAAAAGTGCAGAGAAGCTACCAGAAGAAAAAAAATCTTACAAAAACAGTGTATTTAAACATAGTTTGTTTCTAGGGCACCTAGAAGTTGAAGACTGAACAGGCTGGTGCACTGGATGCTTAGCGAATGTCTGCTAGTCTTGGAAACGACAAAGAAAATTGATGTGGCAAAAGTCATGTTCACCAAGTACAGAAAAATGTGTATGTGATAAAAATCAGAAGGCTTTGAATTAAACGTGAGCAAGCACTGGAACAAGGAAAGGGATGCAACAGGCTGACCAGCAGCAGCACTGGAAGCATTTGTGAGTCCACTGGGATGTGCAAAGCACTTTGGGAGTTCACAAGGGAAAGAAATCTGAACATTTAAGGGGGAAAAAAAAATGAATGAAGAAGCAAGGTCTACAAGAGCCAGGGATTTGGAATCTTATCCTGCGCAAGTATTAGGAGGAAAGGAGAGCAAGGCTGAGGAAAGAGGACATTTCATGCAGAGTTACTAATGGATTTAATTAACTTTCCTTCATCACACAAACAAACAAACAAATCATCTTGAAGGACATGGGGGTTCTGCTGTGAGCTAGAGACAGCTGGAAATACTTCCAACCCCTTCTGGAAAATTAATGGAAGAACCAACAAGGAGTACCTAGAAGCACAGAGAAGGGATGCCTGGGCCACTGGATTCACAGCATTGACAGGGAGGAGTGTAACTGTTCAGCTTGGTCCCTGCAGTATAGATCTCATCAAAGGCCTGGCAGGGCAGATGCCTTGGGCTATGTAGGTTAAAGCTAAGAGGAGCTTATGTGGAATGCCCAAGGTCTAACCCAACCCCCAAAGGAGAAAATTTTCTCCAAGCAAACAGCAAGGAGGAAGCCCTGAGGACTGCGTTACCCAAAAGAATAAGATGTGGCTTCGAGGAGAGGGAGCAAAAGGAGACCACATGGGGAGGTTGTGCTTTGAGAGAACATGATAAAGCATCTAACATCTTGGAAAATGAGCAAATTCAGAGGCTTTGGCAAAGGGGAAGAAGCAGGAACTACCATCTTGATGGATAGACCAGTACATAAAGGAAGGTATTCCATACGTATGTGGCAACAACTTAAAAATTAGCTAACTTTCCTTTCTAAACTGTTTCCCCAAGCCTTCATTTTTATGGAGAAAACCACTTCAAAGAGAAAGTCAAAGGCATATTCAGTGATACTATGGAGAAAAACGATAAGGAAGCTGCTCCAAGGAAGTATTCTCAGTGCCACCGAGTTAGCACAACTTTACACTGTCATCAGCTCACCCTGCTTTAAGACAGTTGAGTCCCCACGTCTTTTCCTTCTGGCTCTCTGGGAACCCCTCAGGATCCTTCCATCTTGTTTGTTCTCCTATGGCAAGAAAGGAAAGTTCGCACTTTAGAAGTTCAGAAAATTGGTCCCAAGGAAAACTTAACTCTGTCCAAAAGCTTTTGGCTGTCGATCTTTGTTTCAATTTTAATTCCTAACTTTTAAAACAACAATATGGCCCACTTGAGACCATGTTGGTTTTGAAATGAGGCATGGGAAAAGAGCATTTCCAAGTGCACTCTGGGAGAGCACAGGTCCTATTCCCTCTTCATTAAAACACACCCTGATCAGGAGAGAAGGTGGGATTGGGAGGGGATGAGGGCGGGGCTATAGCTGGGATACAAAGTGAATAAACTGTAATAAATTTTAAAAAATCATAAAAAAGGGACACATCCTGATCTTAGCTCCATGACTTATGGCCTGCTGCTCCTCATATATCATTGGTCCTTTTTGAAGGCTTTCTGCTAATGTCTACACCCATTCAGCTTCTACACCTCTCTAGCCCATATGTTTTAAAGGTTATTTCTGTGTGTGAGGATGGGTATGAATGATATGAAGTGGTATCGAGCTCAGAGGACAGCTTTGGGTGTTATTCTGTGAGACAGGGTCTCCTAGTGGCTGGCTTCAAGCCAGTGAGCTTGAAGACATACAAAAGTCATTGAGGTGCATAGAAGCATCAGGGCAGAGTGGAACGAGGAAGCCGAGGTTAGTGTGATTTGGGTCAGGTCAATTTTATGGCTTCCTGAGTATAGTGGAAAAATGCTGGGAAGTTCAAGCAACTTCAGCTTCAGCTGGTCTTTGCAGGGCCGGTTTGCTTTGACCTGTATGCGCAAGAGTGGAGTCAGAGAAATGAGTTAGATATTCTTGCAATGTGCTAGGTCAGAGGGCCATGTAAGACAGAAGGTGAATGATTTTTGTTAGAGTTAGGTAGGGTTGTAAGGATATATAAGAAATGGGGCAAATCAGGGATTCTGTGAATAGTAGATTTCTGGATTGAACAAATTCCTGGAATGTGAAGGCAAGGGTGGAGTAAAGACTTAGCAGGCCTCTGGGTGTGCAGAGTTTGTTGGGCTTGGTGTTTACACATCTAAAAATCATTAGGTGGCCAAACACAGACACACGGAATCAGGGAAAGGAAGCTGGAGATGAGAGTGAGATTAGTTCTTTTACAAATAAATGACCCTGAGGAATGGGGAGATGGTCAGTAAAGCACTTACCCTATGATTATAAGGACCTGAGTTTAGTTCCCCAAAACCTATAAAGAGCTGCACTCAGCCAAGTGTGGTGGCATATACTTACCCTATGATTACAAGGACCTGAGTTTAGTTCCCCAAAACCTATAAAGAGCTGCACTCAGCCAAGTGTGGTGGCATATACCTTTAATCACAGCATGCAGGGAGGCAGGGGCAAGTGACTTGGAATTCTGTGAGTTGGAGGCCAGCCTTGTCTACAAATCAAGACCAGGATTGCCAAGGTTACACAGACAAACCCTGTCTTGGGGGGTGTGGGGGAGAAAGTCTAGGCTTGTTAGCATCTGCATCTAATCCTAGTGTTGAGAATGTGGAGACAAGAGGGTCCCTATGCTGCAACTGTTCCCACTTCAGGCATGTTCCTTTGGACATCGTGTGCTGGAGAGAGCTAAGTGCCCACAGCTGGCTGCTCCTTCCTTTTCTTGGTGTTCCTGTCTTTTTTGGAGCCCTCCCTGAATACCCAACTTAAGCTAATCAGCCAACCCTGATGCTCTTACTATTTTAAATGCCAAAAATAGCACTAAGGACTAACTGATATCTCTCCAGTTCTTTCTGCTAGCTTATCATACGCCCTTAGCCACAACACAGCATCTTCAGGAAGAAGGACCTGATTCCAGCTACAAGTCTGACTCATCCCCATATCCCCAGTCCCTTGAGTTGTGCCTGGCAGATAACAACTGCTCAATACGGATCTTAGCTGAGACGCTTCAGAACCTCAAAGTTCTCTGTTCCTGTAAAACCACCAATACCTGCTTCAGGGTGAAAGTGCTATGTTTCAGTTAGCATATTTTGAGTGGTATTTTTTCCCCTAGACACACTAAATATTTACATGTCATTTTCTATCCACTCATATAGTTTATGAGAACTATCTGCAATTTACCAAAATGGAACTGGCATTTGGCTGGTAAGAGAACTTAAAATTCATTCACAAAACATAGGGCTTGACTGTCATCTCTCATCCCAGCAATAAATTCCAGGAGTCCAGCCTCAGAACCCGGAGGATGGATCCTGTTACCTATTATTCTCATTGTGAGATGCTGATGGTGAGGCCTAAAGTAGGATGGAATCTCGTGATAGAAAAGGTCCCTGAACTAGCATCTGCCAACTCAACCAACTGACCTCAGAACAGACCTGGTGCCTGGCAGCAGCCCAGGGCGATGGCTTGCGCCTCTGAACAGACACATCAGGACTACTAACCATCTCATCATCTCTCTCTTCCCCGTCCTCCTTGGAGTCGGCTTTCAGGGATAATTTTGGTTTTTTCTTCCGACTACACTTGGGATCCTCTTCCTCGTTGTCTTCGCCTCCATCTCTCTCTTCCTTCTGATCTCTGTTGTGTTCATAACCCCAAAACAGTGACAGGAAACAGTAACTATCAAATATTTCCATGTTGATTATTGATGTGAAAATTACTTAAAAATTACTCCCTAAAGGAAACATTTAATTATGAAAAGAAGTCCACGGGTATTAGCATATAGGGAACATTTAAAATCATGTTTCATAGATCTGTCTGGGTAGAAACTGGAAATTATTTTATATACTAATTTCAAAAGGGAACTGGCAATATATATGACATGGATTACTTTCTGCCATAATAATAAAAGGATCAGTTATTTATAGAGATATACATGTCCAGGGCAATTTGAAGCCAAGATCCTAGCAACTTTAAGACTGGAAGATCTAATAGAAAAGACCAATTATAAATCTGTAAAGAATCAGTTTGCCAATACAAAACAATCAGCAACTTCTAAATTGATTATGATATGTGGGAGTCTCCACTAAAACACGAGTCAAGGGGCTGGAGGGATGGCTCAGGGCTAAGAGCTCTGGCAGCTCTTGCAGAGGACCCAGGTTTAATTCCCAGCATCCACACAGTGGCTCACAACTGTCTATAACCACAGTTCCAGGGGAAATGCTTATGGTGCAGAGATATACATGTAGGCAAGACATTCATACATATAAAAGTTTTTAAAAATTAAATGAAATTTTTTAAAAAGGTCAAGTCATTTATTTTGTCCTATATTATATGCAAGAAACAAAGTTTTTTTCTTTGCTCCTAAGAGGCACTGTGTTAGATAGTCCCCAGATGGGCAGGCTGCACATCATTTACTGTGTGTCTGTTTACTGAATTCATCCCCTGAGGGCTTATTACACTATCTACTATGGACATTCCTAAGAGTTGACTGCCCATCTTATCAGGGAGAGTTTCCTTCCCAGTGTGCTGTTTTAACAGTTACCTAAGGACTCCGAAAATATAAACAAATGTTTTGTCATAAATATCAGTATGTGTGCGCATAGGTCAGAAATACCTGATTGCTCTTCACTGGAAACAATCAGATTCATGGGTAACAGCAGCCAGCTACAGAGGCAGAACATCACTACTGTATTGGACCAGGCACTGGAGCTAACTGAGGGGTCTAGGGCCATCTGTAGCCTGAGGGAGAGCCTAAGGAACAGGTACGATGTGTCTTATGGCACATTTAATCCCTCGTCTCCTCAGATGCTACGAACTCAAGTCTCTGACCCACTTCGTAGATGGAAGAAAAGGAACCTACTTGTCCTTGGTTCGCCGAGCACAATTCTGGCTGCAATAGTTTCCTCCAGAAAGACACTCATCTCCATTGCCATACTGACAACAGTTCTCACAAAACTGAAGCCCATCAACTTTTGATTGCTCCTTCAACCTGAATGGCACCCCAGTCTTCTCTGAAAAGACTAGAATATGAAGAAAAAAAAGGAAGAAATCAAAACCACGACCGTGGGCACTCCAAAGAACCACTTCTGCTAATTTTGTTAGCGACAATAAAGAATAATGTTTGCTGAATGAATCAGTGATTGAACTACACAGCTGGGGGTGGGGCTAAGCCTGGCAGGAAATCAGTTGAATCACTCCTGTTTTTAAAAAATCTTGAAAAGGGGCCAGGTGTGAAAAGCTTTGACTTTTAATCCCACCCTGCGGGAGGCAGAGGCAGGTGGATTTTCATGAGTTTGAGGCCTGCTTGGCCTACATAGTGAGACCCTATCTCAACAGCAGCAAATCTCCCAAAAGGATAACCAAACAAAGAAACAAAAACACCACATGAGACCTTGGCTTTCTCTACAGAGTTCAAAATAGGATGAAAACTGGAATCAGTTACTGAATTACAGCCAATACTCCTGATCTAGAAGATCTATAGATGAACTTTAGATAAAGCTAAAAAGATCATGTATGTTGTTTCATGTTTATAACATTCTGATGAGTGATTTTTATTTAGTTGACTAAATTAACAGATGTAAATTTAATGTAATTGATCTCCAGGATCATAATAATCCAAATCATTTAGAAACTCACATTTCTTTCTGCCTGAATCATTCAGCAAACACTTATTAGGCACCAATTTATGCTGGACACTGATAATGTCAGTATAGACCTCGCCCAAGACAGCTCACAGTCTAGAAGAGAAGCCATGAAAGAAAGCCAGGGCTTAGAATCACATGGGATGCATGCAGCCATGGATGTGCAAGCAAGTTCTAGGATTGTAGGGGAAGGATTGATTCATTCAGTCAGGGGTAAAGGTGGGAAAGAGTTTCTGACACAGAACCTCAACAGGGTTTTAAAGGCCAAAGAAAAATAGACAAAGATAGCATTTAAACTGGAAAACAAAACAAAAAAAAAAAAAAACAAACAAACAAGGACAAAGCAAAACCAAAACAGCATGAGTAAAGGCAGGAAAGCTGAAACCACAGGATGATCTAGGAAAATGACATGTAGGTCCATGCTGCTGGCAGGGCTGGAGCAGAGCACACAGCGAAGGGGACAGAGCTGGGGGACAAAGCAAGCGGGTGAGTGGACGCCACCAGATTTTTGATGGCTTTGCTAGGTCTGCAAAGGCAAAGAGAAACTAACAAATTGGCAGGTGAGCAGTCTACATAAGTCCCACTGACTTCAGAGTGCAGGATAAATCGGAAAGGGGTGAGTTAGAAGCAGTGATTATTTAAGAGACATCTGTAATAGTTTCGGTGAGAGTTAGGAGGCCTAAATTAAGGCAGTTGCGGTGATAATAGGAAAGGCCAGATCTGAGACTTATTAAGGGAATAAAAACTGAGAGTGTTAGGTAAGAGGGAATGGGAGGAATAGATTCAGGATGACTCCTAGATTTCTTGATTAGGCACCAGGTAGGCGGTGCTACAGTCAACCGAAATATGGGTTACGGAGGAAAGAGCAGGTTCGTGGGAAGGGAGAAAGAAAAAGAAAATGAATTGCATTTGAGACATGTGCAGTTTGAGGTACCTGTGGGACACCCAGGTGGAGATGTCCAGTAGGCAGGTGGGAATACGGGCCTGGAGCTCGGGGGAGAGGTCGGGGCTGAAGACAGATTTTGGAGTCATCAACATATATGTGTTAGTTACAACCATTGGAGTAGATGAGAACAAAACAGTGCCAGGCTCTTTGGCTAAATCACCTAGGAAGGCCATTAGCAACTTGGGCTTCCTTGATAATTGCAACTAACCTTGTGCTAGTACAGACCTGGCATTAGAAATAAGACAGTTTATAATTATTTTCAAGTACAAAAGCTGGGTCCTATGTTTCGTTACAAAAGCTTACGTAGGGACGTGAGACCCAGAAGTACTCCAGGGCTTTCAAAGTCTGGCCTCCTATAAAACTCTGATTTCAAAGCAGTCAATAAGAGGGAATGAGCAGCAGATGGGCGGGCCTTACCCTCTTGGGCAGTAGGAACCATCCAAGTGGTAGTGGCGGTGGCTTTCTTAACACTCTCCATCTCGCTTTCATCTGTGATGACTTCCAAAGCTCCAAACTCATTCACCCGAAACTGGCAACAACACGGGGGGGGGGGGGGAGTGAAATTCACAAAAGTCCTCAGGGCATTGTTTATTTCGTGGCTGACACACAGACTTTAAGCAAACTAACCATGTTCCGAGAGTTGAACAGTCATGCCTTTGATAAGGCTTTTTAACAACGAGCCCTTTCATTTCTTGAATTTTGGGTTGAGGAAGGCTAGAAGGGAGTACTAGGTGTCACTACAGGTGTGCATATGGAAGCGGCCTTGTGGGTCTAGCTGGCACCTCAGACACATTTTCACTGAGATTTCTGTTTATTTAATACTATTATTTATTTAGCAAAGCTGCTGAAGCGGGATTCTCTTTCTTCCCCAAGAAATCGACTTTATCTCACTAAAACTGACCTTGTTCAAAGAGAAGGACATAATGGCCTGTCACCTTTCTCCTTATGGTCCAAGATGAAAATGCACAAACCATGAACTATTCCCTACCCCCCGCCAGACTTCACACTTCCATTTTCTTTCATCACTCTCAAAAATTTTCCAAGAACTTTAGCTCCAGTTTTCCCAAACGGAGGGGAGATAATGGAGAAATAACCGCAAGGACTGAACAAGTCTACAACATGCCATTTCTTCACCAAAAGGGGAAGAGCCCTCTAATGTCCTGGCCTTCTCATTCCTGATCCTACAAGCTTCCTCTCACCTCACTTTGGTAGCTGCTGATAAAGCAGGGTTCTGCCAGCTTACACTTGTGTTGAAGATTTACTCTCTGCTACTGTGCCATGGCAGAGACCCTGTTCACCTGAGTCAAGAGTTCATGGAGTTAAATGCTTTCTTCACTCCTTCCCATTTCCGTAAAGCAGAGTAGCAGTCAGAATTCATAGGTGCTTACAGGATGAAACATGGGTAGAAAGCTCAAATTTGAAAAGACAATAAAATGTTTCAGATCTTTTACCCTATTATATATATTTTCCACACTCATTATATAAAAGTATCAAATTCTTTCTAGACTGAATGAATTGAAATAGTTCAGGAATGTGAGAATGTTTTCTCCCTATTACGTATTCTGGATAGACATTCACAGGTAAAGCTGTGCAGCATGTTCGTGTCAGTTTAGAAAATGGTAAAAGTTAATTTCATGGACAAAAACTAACAATTTGTTTTTGAAAAAGGAAACCTTAAAAAAGAAAGAAACCCGAAAGTTCAAAAAGGAAAAAAAAGGAACCTTAAGCAGCAAATCCTCAAAATAAGGCTGACAGTACCATCTACTGGGCAAGAACAGATAAAACAAGCTACCATGATCATTATTTAATGATATTAAAGAATGTGATACAAAAATCAAGTGAGTTCAGATTTTTTTTTAAATAGGCACAAATGATTCACTGAAGATGAGTAATTCCACTTTTATCCCTTGCTATCCACGCTAATGTATTCTTATTGACAAACGTAAGAGGTGAGACAGCACCAGACTTAGAGGAGACAGAAAGGATACTGCTACCCTGCAAACCAGCCTGCATTCTAAACACTCCACAGAGGACACAAGAGGGGATCTCTGGGTGCAAAGCACAGGCCTGACATTTGGAAGGGTGCAAAGCACTTTCCCCTCTGTTGGGGACTTTTTAATAATAGATCGCTAAAAGACACTAGTGAGGTTACAATTACCATGTTATTTCTTTTGATGTTGTAACCTAAATCCCAATTACCAATGTGTTGTAAGGCCAAAGATGTTTGTTCACTAAACTATTTTAAACATCAATCGAGACAAGGTAAAGCCATGCATCAAGAAGGGGGTGCTGCATTTTACAGCTGACTTCCGCCTTGCTGTTGCAGGTCCTGCTCTCTGATGAAGAACAATTATTCATATTGGATGAGATCCTATTGCTCTCAGGGGAGCACCTGCATGTTACTGGGGGACTCTGAAAGACTAGCTCCTTCTGACTCAGAGGACTAATTTTCCCCGGAGAAGTATCTCAGATGCCATTCAAAATTCAGGTAGAGAAAGTACTCCAGCCTTGGGAAGCCCTGCCAGGTAAGCTTTCCGCTTTGTCCCAGACAGCCCCACTCTCCTAAGGCTAAGCCAGAGAGTTACTCTGCTAAAGCTTATTTGCATTTTCAAAGAACAAATTAGGTAAAACTCCTGAAGCTTGTTTTGGCAGAAATGCTGTGAAATTGAACAAGGTCTTTCGAGATCAGCAGTGGGCACTTGCTAGCTCCTGAACAGTTTGTCTGCTGACGGGATTCTGCTTCTGAAACCCCTGCTCTTGCTGCTTTCCCCAGCACCTTCCCAGAAGTCTTCACTATGAGCATTGCCAGCTCAAATGATACCTGGTTTTTAAAAGCTTCCTGGTCTCTCCAGCTGAAGGAAGTTTCCACCTCTCCAAATGTGTGCCGTTTCCCTATGTCTGTGAATGTTGACATACTGTGTCTTTAAATAGCAGTGTGCCCGTGTTAAGACAACCAGTTTCCATGCTATCAGTCTCCTCTGTCCCAGAATTGTACTACCTACTAACTAACTAACTAACTAACTAACTAACTAACTAACTAACTAACTAACTAACTAACTAACTAACTTACAAAAATAGACAGAAGGGGCTAAACGAAAGGATGAAGCACAGTGCAGGGAAAGTACTCCCTCTGAGGGTTAATTTCCCATTTCTTTCACTTCAGCACCCAAAAAGATGTTTGTGCTTTATTTCAAATAACTATAGTTAATTAGTCCAGTATGGAAAGGGCAGAACACGACAGTGACAAGAATAGGAAAATGTACCCAAGAGAGGAGATGGGGAGAAACCAAGGGGCACTGAGGTACAAGGAGATGAGACCAGAGAAAAGTAGGGGCCAGAAAACCAAAAACCTTCGGGGCCTTAAACATAGAACACTCCAGGAACTCAAACTTGGCTAGGAAGGTCAATGGCAGCTGCTCAAGAAACTTAACCAGAAAGATGGCCGTGCAGTTAGCCGGCGACCATGAGGCTGCTAAAAGGGAAGTTTTCAGGATGGCAAACTCTACATAATGGAAAACTTGTTTTCACAAAGGGAAGGTGACCTCTGTGTAGGCCAGACTGTATCAGCTGGATGCACTCCAGTTGGAAGACTTACGTACCAACTGTTAGGGAGTTCACACACCTCTAAACACATAGAACCATTAAAAAGCAGCAGCCTGGGCAATGTAAAGTTCCCAGCATGATTTAGGGGAGCAAACTTTATGAATTATTCAAAGTGCTAATATTTTAGTTTAGTAAAAAAATTAATTTGTCAACCTTTCAAACAACCAAGATTTTGATGCAGGAAATGCTACATAACATAGCCCGTGAGATGGTGTTGGGTGACAAAACTGATCCTGGGGCGTCACAACCCACATGTCCACTCACTCCTGACAGGGAACCCACGACAGACCAAAGTAGGGGCACTACCAAAGCTCAAGATGGTGAACACGTTTTTTGTTGGTTTTTTTTTTTTTTTTTTTTTTTTTTTTAATTGGGGTTCTGTACAGGAGCAAAAATAACTCAAAGACAGCTGAATCAGCAAAGCCCACCCCATCATAGTTGACAGCTCCCAAAGCTGGGAACCTGGAGCACACTGCACAGCCTGCAGGAAACCCAACAGGCTGAAGAGCATCCTTTCTAGGTGCCTCAGTTGATCTAATCCTCTTCCAGGCAGCTCTGCTGGTTTTTCATTCTTCCAGGTAGCTCTGCAGAACTGGTTCTTCATAGTTCAGCTAGTATGGGTGTCTTCTTTGTAGCCTAACACTGCTATTATGAGAGGGACTCTTAGTCCTTGCTCTGGCAGTGGCTGGGCTGGGGGGTGAGGTGGGCTGGGGGGTGGGGGAGGGGTAAAATTTGTTCAGTTTCAGGGACTTCCTGAAGCTATTTTAAGTTGTGTACCTTAATGCTTAAGGATGGCTTGTTTAAATCTCATAGGAAACTGTTACACAACAGATAAGCTACAAATCTCAGATTAAAAGGGTTATAAATAATATATTTTGTGTGGGAGGGAGACACAGGAAGACGGAGAGAGGTAGATGGGAGTGCCCTATGCGTACACATGGTGGTGCACGCATCATCCACACTATACAGAGGCCGGAGAATGTCTATGTCACTCTCTACCTCATTGTTTCGTTGAGAAAGATACTCTCTCTAAACCTAAAGTTAGGCTGGTGGCCAGAAAGTTTCAAAAATCCTGTCTCTGCCCGCTCCCCCAACTGGCCTTTGTACATGGGTGCTGCAGATTCACATTTAGTTCCTCTGTGTCTTCCACTAAGTCATTGCCCCAGCTCTTGAAGTTATTTGCTAAAGTAAGGTATCAAACTGTCTACCCCACCCCATGAAGAAGTAGATTGGACACATGGTAATTATCCCAGTAATTGCAGAAGTTTAAAAGTCATATCAAATAACCCTGATTGTAATACCCTAAATGACTTAATTACCTGATTATCTTAATAAAAATAATAGGTTAATTTCTAAAATCCACAGCTTAGAAAACTTTAAGGCAATCCAGATTTCTTAGCGATGAAAACTCCTCTTTACAACCAAAAGCTAGCTAAAAGAAAGTTATAAATGTTGTCATGTACCTGACACATAAAAAGCACTATATAGTGAAAATGCACAATAATAAGCATATGATATACTAGAAAGTTTTCATAATAAAGCGGCAAAGTCAGAAAATGTACAACCTAACTATTTGTTTGCATTCTTGTCAACTGTCATCTCCTTTTTACAGATGGGATTTTGTTGCTATTGTTTTGTTTTGTGCTTTGGGTTTTTGAGACTGTTTCTCTGTGTAGCCGTGGCTGTCCTGGAACTCACTCTGTATATCCACCTGCCTCTGCTTTCTGAGTGCTGGGAAAAAGGCATCCACCACCACCACCCTATTCAGATGTGAATCTTATGGATCCTAGCAACCCCCCATTTTTCAGATAAAGCCTGCAAGATGTAACGGTTTTAAAGAATCATTTGTAAGATTTATTTTATTATTAATTACATGTATGTGGCCAGGATGGAAGAGGGGCTATGAGGGCATGTACCCTTAGAACCCAGACGATCCCCTGGAACTGGCTTTACAGGCAGCTGTGAGCTGCCCAGACAAACTAGGGTTTCCCCGCCAAAGGAGAGCATGCTCTTAACTGCCGACACACCTCTCCAATCCCTGATGTTAAACAACTTGACGAAAGTCCACAGGGCTAACCTATGGTTGACATTATCAGAACTTGAGAAAATTTTGTTGTTGTTGTTTAAAAATCTTCAACATTCTATGTCCACCATATCTCTTGAATAATGTCCGAGCAGTTTAGTTTCTTTTTGTTCTCACATTGACTTATTTTACTGCAGAGCTATCTTGACCCAGAGAAATTAACTGTTCCATGACTTGTCATCCTACATAACTGAAACTGAAAATTTCTTCTCCTTAATAATCTTAAGTGGATGCATAACACATGCGCGTACTTATGAGCTCCATACATGCGCATACTTATGAGCTCCATACGTGTGCGTACTTATGAGCTCCATATGCTATTCCCACATACACATAATACGGAACGTTCAGATGGGGGAAACAGCAACTTTACATCTTCAAACACTGCCACTTCTACACGTTACGGACCTCTGAAATCTTCTCTTTTAGTTGTTTTAAAGAATATTATATATTACTTTAGATTATAGTTACCCTATGGTATAAAAGAATACCAGAACTAAGTGCTGTATTTTAACTATATTCTGGTATCCACTTAAAAAGAACAGTTTCTCCAAATTTCACTAACCCTCAGTGCAGTGGTTTTGTTTCCCTTAACTAGTATACTGGTACTTTGACTTAATTAAACCTAAACCAACCAAATTCTCACACACTTTTCCAACGGCAAGCAGATGTTTAAATTGTACCCTTGAGGATACAGTGAGGGCAGTGACTTGGCTAAGATATTTGCCAAGCAGCCATCCAAAGGATTAGATTTCAAGAAGCCTAAGTTAGGGGCAAAATTTTTCTATTTGAGGCAGCACAGAAAATCAAATATTATAGACACAGGCCAAGTGAGAGGAAGTCCAAACATCTGAATGACAGAGTACAAACACAAAGTCTAAAAGGCCACATGCCACAGACAGGTTCAAGGTCCCAGAGATAGGATCACAGCAAAACAAAGTGAGAAATGAGAAGTGGGGCCAGGTGGGTGCTCGCACGACTGTTTCTCATGGAGCAGCTGCACTGGTCCTAATGTAGGCTCGGTCGGGCTGCAGACATGTAATGGGCAGCACATAAGCAGTGGGCAGACTGAACCCCATGAAGAGTGCAGACTCACAGTGGGCAGCACGTATACAGTGGGCAGACTGATCCCCAAGAATAGTGCCCTTAATGTGAGATAACAGTCAGACTTACAAGAAGAGCCTGCTGTTGAACAAGTGTTTGTACAAAAATTCATATTCATAATATAAATAATTTAGAGGCAGTGAATAGTCCTATTGATTCAAATTTGTCATACTATTTTAGCCAGAACACTAGGGTACGGGGAATGTGGTACCCTACAAAGCTACAAAGCCGTTAGTAAAATAATGGCTAGACCTTCCAGGTCTGGCATTTCCATATATATTGGTCATCATAATAGACCCAAAACAGATAGATGATCCTCCTCAAAGCTATTGATTGATTTCCTCAAGCTAAGGATATTAGTCCCCTAACCCAAGTGATGAAATATAATTCATCAGTATTTCAAGTTATCTTACAAATTTACTGCAGAAGACAGTGAACTGTATATAGTACTGTGTACAGCCAGGCAGAACACTGTATTTAATGCTTTGAATTCTTACTTCACATATGTAATCACTGTAAAATAAGCTAGCATGCAGAGACATACAATATATATAAATAAATAAGCATGGCATACATACACATATATACTGAATACATATGATATATATTATACCATATATGACACACATATATCATATCTTTATCAGATATATGTGGTAAAGAAAGCATACCTTTAGATCACTTCCGGGTAAGGTACCAACTCCATCCTTCCAGTCCATAACACTGAACACATCAAACTCTTGACCACTTGTGCTAGATGCAGACTCAGTCATGATTTATTTTTTAACCTGGAAGAGGGGAAAGGGAGCGTAAATATTTCACATGCACATCAATTTGATTTGGTGATGCTTATTACTTTGGTTTCCTTTAATTATGTTATTTTCTTCATTCATCCATCTAAAACCAACTGCTTCAAAAGTATCACCGATGGGACCCCTGACTTGCCTAGCATGTCCCTGAAGGCAGACATTGTGAACCTGGACAGTCAATCTGATAACTGAGACAGTCACCAAGTACCTAAGGGGGCAAAGGGTGGTCGTGTACAAGTGTGGACTCAGTGGACCAAAAGGCAACTCATTCCGAAGCAGAGTAAAGGGACACAGCCTGAGATCTCATGCTACACAGAATAACGTTTAAAGCACATGGATTGCTTGCTTCTGGGCGGTTCCACTTAATATTTCTGAGCAGCTGTTGACCTCAAGTAACTGAGCCCTCAAGTAACTATGATCTCAGAAAGTGGAACCAGAGACACAGGAGCTACTAAATAAAATGTAGATTTAAAAGATACCATTTTGATAGGGGGAAATTGAGTCCGCTGCTCTCTACCTCTATTAACCTATCAGTTACATGTCTGACCTCTTAACACAACAAACGTGAACGCGGTTTTTCAGAAAGAACTCAGGTGTACTTGACTCAGTTGAAACATCTAGTTGTGACCCCGACAGCTTCCCAATAGCCAAGACTTGGTCAAGGACATGGAAAAGCGGTGATAGAAATGAGGATGACACTTAAAATACTTAACGAAATATGACAACATCTGAAAGATTTACACAGTTCATTGGAAAATGTTCTTGAAATGGCTAAGGTTTAATGTTACGACACTAAGCCCAGGAGGGAGCGGTTCCAAGCCTCAAATCAATGAGTTTGAACACAGTGAAGCCTCAGGCGTCAGGTTTCCAACTGCACACCAACCTACCTTTAAGACTAACTATGCGTCACGGAGCTCTGCTCCAGCATCAACGACTTCCACCATTACTGAGCGCAAGCAAAATAGCCCTCTCTTTTCCAACCCTGAATCTACACGGAACTGGACTTTCTTCACATACTTCAGCCAAAACACCAGACTGAACAGAAGTGCCAGAGGAATACTGCTCCTCTTTAATAAAGATGAGATGATAGGTAATAATACATATTTTTGTTTTATTTTCTATTTTACATTTGTTTGTTTTGTATATGTGTATCTGTTGGGGCATAGAGGTGTCACAATGCATGTATGAAGGTCAGAGAGCAACTTGCTAGGGAGTCAGCTCTCTTCTTTCACCATGTGGGTTCTGAGGGTTGACCTCTGGACATCAAATGTGGTGGTAATGAGTCACCTCTGGCCCATATTTTATTTTTGCTTGGTCTTGAGACAGAGCCTCACAACTATGCTGGCCTCGACCTCATGACCCTTATGTCTCTACTTCGTATGTGCTAGGATTATAGGCATCTTCCACCACACCAGCGAACATAATGGGGAGTTCTTCCTTATATTTTATAAATGAGCAGGTGAAAAGGCATGTAGGAAATTTGTTTTAAATTAATCAATGAAATCAAGTGGCCAAATAAAAGTGGCATTATGCCAGCGTAACTCTCCAGATACAGGTAAGGTTTTTGGTGCCCCATTCTACATCCTCGATTTTTATGTATGCTTAGAAGTCTGTCAAGGTATTTTGTTTTTCGCTTAGACAGAATCGTGTAACTTAATACATTATCCAAAATTTGCAATGAAGCCCAGGCTGGCCTTGACCTTATCCTTCTGCCTCAGCCTCCCAATTGCTGAGAATACATGCTTGCACCATCATGCCAGACTCAAGACTTGCAAGTTAGTCTTTTAATATATGCCATATGCATTTCTACAATGTCAGTAAAAACTCTGTGCTTCTTTGAATTAGAGACTTTCTTCCTTCAAGAATTTCCAGATGTACTGATATTCTTTCTTTCCCTCATTGCTTTAAATAAAGTATCAACCAAAAGACATTTCAAACTGTATGTGGCATGAATCACAAGAACCAGAGCTCACTGTTACTAATACTTAATTCTCAGAACAGAAAGTAGGATCTGAGGATCAGGAGAGAATTATGTGAGAAACTTTAGAAATATTAAATGAATTAAGGCTTTGTTCAGGGTTTTTATTGCTGTAATAAAACATCATGACCAGAAACAATTCAGGAAAAAGAGTGTTTACTCCATCTTACAACTTTCAAGTCACGCTCCATCACTGAAGGAAGCTGGGCAGGAACTCAGGGCAAGAACCTGCAGACAGGAACTTAAGCAGAGGCTGTGGAAGAGTGCTGCTTACTGGCCTGTTCCTCAAGACCTGCTTTCTCATACTAGCTTATCTATAGGCCCAGGGATGATACTGCTCCAACATCAATCATTAATCAAGCAAACCCCCTACAAGCAATCTGATGGAGATGATTTGTTAACTGAGGCTCCTCCTTTCAGATAACTCTGTCAAGTTGTAATGAACCTTTCGCATAAGGCATTAATAAAACTCTTAGTTTTAGAGTTTTATTAATTCCATTAGTTAATAAAACCAGATTTTTTTTTAATTTTTATTTTGGGAGGAATGTACATACTAAGAGCAAAACCAAGGCCACATGCAGCACTTCTGGGCAGACAAATGTTGTCACCAGTCAGCATCTTATTTTCAAAAGTGTAAGGGTCTGAGAATATAATTCAGGGACAGAAAAGCCTCCCGTAGTCATTGCAAGTTAAAACTGCTTTGAGCTAATATCGCAGACCTTATCCCCATCAGTAAGTCTATTTCTAGAAAATGATCCTTTAGATATTTCTGTGTGTATAAAACCTGTAACAATCCAAGGGTTCATCATGGGTAAAGAGTTACAACAGTTCTGTGCCATGGTATAAAACGCCACAAGGAAGGTTGAAGAGGAAACTCTCCATTCTAATACAGAAAGAATTCAAGAGGTAAAACGACTAATTTTAAGCAAAGTGTAAAAATGGTGTGCAATCATTTGTGAAAAACAAAAGCAAATATGGACTATGTACTGGGTATGTACAGACACTATTTTTAGAAGGACTCTAGCTATGTACAGAGAGGTAACAGTGCTCAACAATAGCCAAGTTGAGCCTGTCTACTAATGTTAAAACAATACATTCAAAAATTATAATATAAATATAATTCAGAAGTGTTAAAACCTGCTTCTTGCTTATTTAAAAGTATATTATAAAAGGGATGTCCTCCCATAAAAACGGTGACTACTGCTGCCAACAAGAGAAACTATGGTCTAGTACTTGCTGAGGGAAAATTAGCCCTGTGAAGTTAAAACAATACATCTAAAAATTACGATATAAATATAATATATGAATGTTAAATCCTGTTTCATACTTATTTTAAAAGTATCTTCTAAAAGTATCTTCTTTCCATGAAAATATTTTCTACTGATGCCAACAAGAGAAACTGCAGTGTAGAAGTCACCAAGGGAAAATTAGCCCCTTGAAGTTCTTGGATAAGTTACCAAGAGAGAAGTGTTAAGTCTAAGTGCAAGAATATCAGCCTAACAGATGGAAGAGAGGAAAAGTGCAGGGCTCACTCCTTCATAAAGACTACTCGCATCCCCAGGCCCAGCCTTTACAGTCCCCACCACTCCTAAGTTACACCTGACGTTTTGGTGACATTTCCTAATCTGCCCTTTCTCAGACATGTTTATGAATCATTTCTGCCATAAGCTGAGAGGAAGGAGCACATCGCCAGGCAGGGCCAAGGTCCAGGTATGCCCTTTATCACAGAGCTTACTCTTACTGCTAAGAGTAAGGGCATACTGCTAACACCGCAAATAAAATGTTTTTTTTTTTTTTTAATATTTTTCTTTAAGAAATCAATCAAGCAAAATTAACTGCTAGTTGAGTCTAGTGTTGATGACAGACCGAAAGGAAGATGAAAATGTTTATGAAAGTCATAGGCTCTGGCCACAAGATAGAAGTTTCGGATAAATTGAAGACTGAAATGTCAAACACAGTGAGTGACTCAGACCCGTTGTGTGAACACTACGACTGAGACTTCCAAAAGGAAATCAGAAAAGATGTGCAAACGTATTTGAGTTAGTACCCAACACCATCAAGAGACTACTCAACGTGAGAGTCATAGTCAGGATCTGCAGAGATCAGTTCTGTTCTACTTTAGTGATTTCACAGAACGTATGTGCTACACTATTTTTTTTTCTCTCAGTTTAAAAACTGAAGGTGGCTGGGGACCTACCCCTCAGAAATGTCATGATCTACTCATCTCGCTTTGACTAGACATAAGCAGCGCTGTGGGCTCTCCGTGAGTCTTCTTTCATGACACTTGTCTGCTCTGAGCAGATAAAAGAGAGGGGCAGAAGGTGCTCCTGCGCTAGGCTCCTGGAGCAGACTCTGAAGGGGAGAGACGAGATAGAGAGAAGATAAGAGCGTCCCCCCCCCCCCGACATGAACAGCACAGCCCAGGTGGCTGAAAACAAAGCGAAAGAGTGGCCAGATTCTCCCCACTCCCCAAAGTCGGGGGCCATGGAAGGAGAGAGGAGGATGACATCAGCACAGCACTGTGTGTAGCCTGACCATTCCTGCTCAAAGCATTTTCTCTAGAAATTATATTGAGAGGGATGTCAAGTTGGTGCTCATAAAGAGCAAAGCAGAGGAAGGTGGATCACTGTGAGTTCAAGGCCAGCCTGGTCAACCAAGGAGTCCAGGACAGCCAAGGCTACACAGAAAAATCATGTCTCAAAAGAACCTAAAAAAAAAAAAAAAAAAAAAAAGACAAGAGGCTAGAGACAAGAAAAAAGGCCTTGCCATCAAAGTGGGAGAACCACAGCATCCCCATAAACAGCAGGCAGGCATGAGCAACCTGGCTAGTTAGAACAGCAGAGCAAGCTGGGATCTCAAATAAGAGACCTTGACTCAAGATAGAAGGTTGAGAGTGATCAAGAAAGACATTTGATGTCTTTCTGGCCTCTACACATATGGTGTGAGCCCACAGATGCGCTTGTGCACTCACTCACACACACACTCACACACACACACACAC